TGCATTGACGATTTTTTCTTAACTCGCAAAAATCTTCAAACAATTTGCTACCGATTGGTGATAAAATTTTTTGGAAATAATGAAATAGGGGGGATACCGCCTTTTTTTCAGGGGTGATTTTTCAAAAATTTAATTTTAAAAAAAGTACTAACTAGCAAATGTTTTTTATTAGCTCGCAATTTTCTTCAAAACTACTTCAATGAGGAAAAAAATAAAAATTTGGAATATCTATACATGAGGGGCTAATTGATCGGATCTCTTTTGTGGAAAATGGAGTGCGTGACCCCCTGCTGCCATCTAATTCAGCCTTACGAAAGTTTCTAAATTATTTTTTTGCGCTCTATAAAAAAAGGGATCAGAAAAAATAGTGGAATTTCCACTAAAAATCAATCATCATCTTCATCATTTTTCGAGCATTTATAATTGATTTTCAACTCAATCGGACTAAACTATCAATTGTTTAAGCCCTGCTTCCCCAAAAAATAGAAACATGACAACGTGTATAATTCTAATATCATCTACCCGGCGACTCATGCGCTTTTCGGAGTCGTCTAATATTTCAGTTCCCCTAAGAAAAAACAGGAATTATTACAATAATCAAAAATTCCACAGTTGATATGAGGAATTTATGCCAAATAAAGATTTTCGAAGGGAAATGCAATGATTTTTTGGGATTCTCTGAGGTTTTTGTGGATTAAATTGAGTTTTTAGATTTTTATTATTTTGGATTTACTCATAAATTTCGCTGGGGTAGGTTATAAGGATTTTTAGATTTTCAGGACGCAACAGACACTGCTACTTCACAAACACCTGTTGTGTACAAACATAACCTCCAGAAGCTCCTGTTGACACCAAAAATGCACCTGCGGACATGAATTACGAAGACTGAATCGTTTCTCTAGATTTAGGACAGATGAAGGGTTAATTATGTTCGCTTTGTTGGGTGACATCAAGCTCTGGAGCTGCGATGATAATATTGATATCCAGGACACCGATTTCGGAGCATTCAGGTGCTGAATTTAATCGACAATTGACAGTTACAAATGGAATAAATTAATCTCGTATTTTTTTAATAATTTTTTTTAAATGTTTCTGCACTTTTTTTGTATTTAGGTACAATGACAGAAAGACTGATGGCCTTTACGACGAGGGAAAGAGGTCATACTGCAACAATCGGGGGATTATTCATACTCCAGTTAATAAAAAAGGAAAAAAATTGAAGGACGGACTAAAATATTTGGAGGTAATCCCCCAAAAAATGTAATTATTATAAAACTGCAGAAAATTCGTGGATTTTTCAATTCTGAAAAAATCAAATTACATTTAAATTATAATTTTCTCATTGTGTTGATAATTATTTTCACTTGTTTATTAGTTAATAGTAATTATAATAAGAAAATTATCATCTAGTCCCAACTGAATTTTTTAGAATCAAACAAATTAATTCCATTAAGAGAAAAATCCATTGATGATAATTATTAATATCACAATGACAATTATTAATAATAATGATTATTATTGAAAAAAATTGGAAGATAGACTGAGAGATTTCGAGATAATTTTCAAGAGAATATGAATATTATTTTGAAACTTGTGAAAATGAGCAGATTTTTTAATTCTCAAAAAACAACTGCAATTAAATTATAATTTTCTAATTACATCAATAATAATAATAATTTATTTAATTCATTGATGGCCATTGTAATTAGAAAATGATAGTTCGATTGTGATTGGGTTTTTTTTTAATTGAAAGAACTAATTCCACTAAAAAAATATTGACAATTGTTATTTCACTCATTCTCGCGATAAATGAACAATTAAAAATTAAGTTATGAATTTCAGGAACAACTGAGGGATCACTCGATAATTTACTCCGAGTGGCACGACCAGAATGCCCTAGAGCTGATGCTCAACACCGGTTTACTGATCTTCATTCAAATAAAAATTCCAACTGGTGACATCGATAGAATCGGATTTGACAAGTACCTAGTGGGAAAGGTCCCAGACCACCTCTCAGATGCTGTCATCACGAGGGAGAATCTAGTTTGCACTCAGAACGACAGTCAAGTCACAATTTTACACTTTACGAAGTCTAAGAGGCAGGGTTTCGAGAAGATCAGTAAATTAGAGCCCAAACTGGTGACTGTGGAGCTCTCTGGACCCAGTGGGAGGAGAATCGAGAAGAAAATTCGAGTCAATCGAACTGGAGATTTAGTGAGGCCCAAAAATATTCTGATTTTGTAGGGAAATGGAGAAATTCACGATTAAATCTAATTTTTCATCTTGGCAACGAGCGATTTTAACAGAAAATGTTGGAAAATATTTTTTATGGAGAATTAAATACTCTAAAAAAAATTTCTCGGGATATTTTTTCACAGATTCAGAGCTATTCCCAAAATTCTCTGAATGATTTCTGTTATTGTGCAATTATCACCGAAACAAATCGATTTATCAAAAAATGGGAGAAAAACTTTTTTGTAGCCCTTGAAATTCTCTGCAAAAAATATTTTGTCTCATTGTTCTCTAAACCCACTGGTTTCAAAGATATTCGCAAATGAATTATCGAGTCTTTGTTTTGACAATCTCAAAATTTCAAAAAGTGTCAAAATTTCCTTTGAAAATCCTTCATTATCGAAATTATCAAACACATTCATAAAAATGAGAAAAATTCACTCGTTTCTTTATCACTTCCAGGATAAAATCTTCCATAGTCCTTTGATAAATATCCTTTGATGCATTGATTCCACAGATCTTAATCTGGTGGAAATCGACGAGCAACGAGGTCTATCCATGGAGTCCAGCGATGAAGGAGCACGACAGAGCAAATGTTCATCTCTATCGTCTCAGGGGGTGAGTTCTACCCCTCGTCTCTCTCACCCCCTCGCAATCCGCTCTATTCTTCGCCAGATGTGCCTCCCACTTGTCGTACTGGTACTTCGGTGGTGATGATAGCTCTGTTGCTATCTTCCTGGTGATTGTCAAGGGCAAATCCCATGTTCCCTAGTTTTAAAAACTCATTTTCAGTTTTAATCAGCAAAACATTTTTTTTCAACTCAAAAAATATTTCTAATTGTCAAAAATGAGTGATTTTTTCTCATGTTTGACGACTAATATTTATAATTTCATTTAATCATTGCTAAATTATTAAATTCCTGAGAATTAAATTAATTTTTGATGATTTAGAAAAATTTTTTATGCATCAAAAAAATTTTTTAATCATAAAAACTGAATTTGTAATTATTAGGACCTCTTTTTGATGAGTAAAAAAGATAGCTCCGTTGCTATCTTCCTGGTGATTTTCAAGGGAAAATTCCATTTTCCTTAGTTTTAAAAACTAATTTTCAACTCTAATCCTAAACAAAGCAGTTTTAATCAGCAAAATATTTTTTTTCAACTCAAAAAATATTTCTAATTGTCAAAAATGAATGATTTTTTCTCATTTTTGAAGACTAAAATTTAGAATTTCATTTACTCATTGCGAAATTATTAAATTTCTGACGATTAAATTAATTTTTGATGACTTAAAAGTATTTTTTATGCATTAAAACATTTTAGTGATTTAAAATCATTCAATTATTTAATGTTTTGATTATTAAAAATATTTTTTTATGCATCAAAAAAACTTTTTAACCATAAAAAAATCATTTTCAATTATTAGAACCTCTTTTTGATGATTAAAAAAGTTTTTAAAAATTGAATTTACCTTGAAATTTCCCCATGGAGAAGCCTGTCTCCTTTTAACCCCTGGCAAGAACCTCCCAGAGTCATCAACCTGAACCTTCGTAGTACTGCAGTGCCTGTCAGGCCTCTTGGGATGCCAATTTGGCACCTGCCAATTGCACAGCCTCCTAGGCTTGAAGGCATCCTCAGTCCAGTGTCCATGCCAGTGCTGGGACATTTCTCCCAATTCCTCAATTGTGTTCCCTCGCAAGTCACTTCTCCAATTCAGAATCCTCTCGATGATGTTTATTACGTTGTCATGGGGATCGAACTTCACTAACCGATCAATTTTCGTTTCAGTGTCAAGTTCGAATTGCTGTGCTACATCAAGACTGAATTCGATCCTCTGTGCGTTATTTTCAACTCGAGACAGGAAAATGTTCTGCATTCTGTCGAGCAGAAAGTGTCCAGGAAGGTAGTTCTATTAAATTAATTCAATTTAATGAATTCAATGAATTTTTTTGTTCTGTTGTAATTTTTTTCACTTGAGTTTTTCATTGATACCTCGTAATCGAAGAGAGATAGCAAATTTTGTGTCAAAAGCTTTTTCGTAGCAAATTGAATTCTCTACAAAAAATTTCTTGACAAAAATTTCGCTATCTCCGTCAGGTTTGGCGATATTCAACAAAAACTAATGTCATTCCACAGATTTTGCACTGAATTAAAATAAGATTGTCTTGTTTTCTCCGATTGTTTGCTATGAATTGATGATTCTGGTGAATTGGTGTTTCTAGGGGGAAGTTACGATCGAATGGCAGACGTATCAAGTGTCCCAACAAGATAAACTGCAGAGGATTGAAGTGGTCTCGATTCCCCTCCCGACGCACACAAGCTGCTCTAGATTCTCACCAAATCAGGATATGCTCCTGCTCTGTTGTATTGATGGATCCATCACCCTCCATGATCACACGAAGGGGACTAACGCCAGTGTGAAAGCGGGATTTGTGAGTAAAATCAAGACATTGATAAATTTTTCATTAAATTCATAAATTCATAAAAAAATAATTGCAATCACCAACACATCTTTTAATCATCGAAAATGAATTCTGAATCATTAGAATCTTTTTTGACGACGAAATGTGTTTTGATGATGAAAAACCATTTTTTCATTTCCGAAAATATCTTTCTGACATTAAAAAATATTTTTCATCATCCGACAAAAACTTCTAATCGTCAAAAATGAATGAAAAATATTTTTTAATTCGTAAATTGAATTCTTTAATTTTGGGATCATCAATAATTAATTGTTTATCGTTCAGATACCAACATTGGCATCTTGGCACAGTGACAGCTTTATATTCACGGTGGGAAACGAGAGGGGACAGTGTCAGCACTACGACATCTCCCTCTCCTGCATCAAAACCCAAATGTTGAATGAAGAATCGACTCAATCAAATATACTCGATTTCTCCTCGTACTTCCGAAGTCAACCAGCACTCCTGCAAATATCCTGGAGCAAGAAACTTGACGACGAGATTTATTACAACGATCGATACAAAAATAGAGACTCTCTACTTCTTCTTTCGTTTGAGAGGTAAAAGATTACTGCATTCGTCAGAATTTGTCTACAATGGAGTGATAATTTATAGGAATCAATAATAATAATGTTATTACTATTGTTACCACCGTAAAAAATTGATGATTGATAATCCCTTAAAAAAAACACGTAAAGTTTGTGAAAAAGTAATGAAATTTACAATTTCATTGGATATCCAATGGAATGGACTCTGAGATTTAATTTGATTTTTTATTAATTGATAACTCAGAAATAGATTAAACTGAATTCACTTGATTTACAGAAATTTCTGGAGAATTATTGACCTGAAATTAATTGATTTTTTCACAAATTTGGGAATAAATAATTAATAGGATTGATCTGAGTCTTTAATATAATTTTCAGGGGTCCTCTGGGTGTCATGAGGATCGTTGGAGGCAGTAATTTAACAGGAGATGTCCTAGTCTTCAAATACCTCAACTTATCCTCGCCAGATCGTGCAACTTCTCTTCTCTTATCCATGAACTGGGACAGCCATTCCAGGATTTGCATGCACTCGTTGAATCAAATCCTGAATCATCTCTTTAAACTTCGATTGGTGCCGGAACGTGAGAGTGAGTGGAAGAAAAATTAATCCCCATGATTCAGATGTTTTTTTTTAAATTTAAAAAACACTTCAGAAAATGAATCCGTAGATTAATTATTGAAAATTTAATTGCAGGTTTGATTCAGGATGCACTGGGGAGTTTTCACGTCCCAGTGCGTCCGATAAGTCAAGCTGTGGAGGACGAGTATGGGGATGAGATCAGGGACCTCACGAGGAGATTTTTCCATCACTTGATGCGTTATAAATTATTCGAGAAAGCTTTTAGACTGGCGATCGATCTAAATGATCACGATTTGTTCATGGACATTCATTATTACGCACTCGTTGTCAATGATCTTGAGATGGCGAGGGCTGCCAAGGAGAAGGCTGAACTGGTGCTGAGTAGATCGAATAGTTGTGCTAGTTCACGTAAGCAAATCTTTTATTTACTCCATTTTTCGTGACTGGTTAATTTTTAATGCAAAATGTCTGAAGACATTTCTCACTGGAAATTTTGTATTAAAAATGTCTTCTGAAATCTCCTAAAAACCCTCATTAATGAGACAATTTAACATTTGATTCAACAACTTTGGAAGAACCAAAGATTCCTGAAGATTTTCTCCTTTCACATCATAAAAATTATGCAAATTCAATCACAAATTAATTTTACCATTTTGTTTTAATGTCTTCATGTATTGACGACAGTTATTTTTTTCAAAAAAAACTTTATTTTTCATGACTCTTGCATTTTTAAATTGTCTTGAGCAAAATTTAATTCAGGAGAAAATACCAAGACATTTTTTTTCATGAACAATTCTCCGCAAAAAATGTCTTCTGACATTTTCTAAAACCCCTCATTAATATCAATTCAACATTTAATCCAACAACTTTGGAAAAACTAATCATTCCTGAACGTGTTCTCCTTCACATCATGAAAATCATGAAAATTCAATCAATCAATTCAATCACAAATTAATTTCACCATTTTGTTTTAATGTTTTCATGTATTGACGACTGTTTTTTTTTGCAAAAAAACTTTATTTTTCATGACTCTTCAATTTTTAAATTGTCTTGAGCAAAATTTAATTCAGGAGACAATATCAAGACATTTTTTTTTCACTGAAAATTGTCCACAAAAAATATCTTCTGACATTTTCTAAAACTCCTCATTATTATCAATTCAACATTTACTCCAACAACTTCAAAAAACTTGATTACTCCTCAACATTTTCTCCTGTCAAATTACAAAAATTACGAGAAATTAATCAATGCCTCCACCGAATTAATTTCAATGCTCCAACAGATTCCACTTGCTCAAGGCCATCATGCTCCCTCTGTTCAGACTCGCCGAGTGACAACGAGAGTGAGTCCTACACCGATGAAAGTGGCAGTGACTCCCCCTGCAGAAGATCAAAAAAGTTCACAAAAACCCCAAGCCTCTCCCAAATTCCCCCTCTCCCAATAATCACCCCAGGCGCCTTCACCCCTGTTCCCCAGATCTCCACCTCCTTCAACGATCCCCCCTCCCCCCAGACATACCTCAACATCCCCTCGAACCCCTTCGACTACAAATTCCGAGAGATCAATCCCACGTCAGTCTCTCAGAGCAAAAGTCATTTTTCGAGGATGTCGACTTCCTCTACTCCTCCGAGCAAAAACAACTTCTCCAGGATGTCCACGTCATTCGGGAATCTGAAGATCAGTGAGCTTCAGGGTATCAGGGACCCCACCTTCAGGAGAGCATTCTCCAACGATCGATTCTTCCCATCTGAGCCCCAGATAACTGATAAAACTGGCTCGACACTGGAGGAAGTTATCTCTGTAGACATTCCCAATTCCATTGAGTACTCTTTCATGAGCATCGATACGAACCTCACGAGTACGTCCTTCATTTCTGAGGATAATTGCTCCTCAAATGTTCCCAACTCTACGATAGCTGAAGAGGAAGAACCAAAAAATCCTGGGAAAAGCCAAGAGTCAGGTACAGATGATGAATTATTTTGCGTAAATCAATATCGAAACATGTGTTGGGAAATGAGTTCAAGTAAATAAACGGTTTTTAGGGCCCGGGTGCACTATCTTTCGAATGTTATCTCGATTTTTTTTATCTTTCGTAATCCAAAATTGTCAAAATTGTCAATTGAGTGGTACATCGTGTAGAAATTTCCAAAAATTATGATAGAATGATAAAAAAAATAGAAAAAATTCTGAACTTTTTCGAAGAGCATTTTTAATTGAGATTCAGAATGAGTTGAAATAGTGGAAATTACAAATATCTGATTCGCTGTGGCAAATTATCTATTAGCTGTCATTTTCCATGGTGGATAACAAAACACTAACTCCTCATGGGAAGTGACAGCTAGGCAAATTGAGATACCTAATCTCAATTTTCAAAACAGTGGTATGTAGACATCTGCCATTTTTATGTGATAAAAGTGTGATTAAAAAAGTCTCCAAAATATTACAACTTTTTTCAAAGAACCTGTTCCGTAATAAATGTCTCTGTGCAGTGTGGGAAAAAATTTACGAAATCAGCATTCCCCCTGCATGATATTGGGTGACAGGCCGCCATTTGTCACCCTAAATCAGATACATTTTTCAATTTCTTGTTATTCAACTTATTCTGTATATAAATTAAAAATGCTCTTCGAAAAAATTGAGAATTTCTTCTACTTTTTTTTGATTATTCATTCATAATTTTTCAAAACTTCTGCATGATGCAGGACTCAATTGACAACTTCAGATGACGAAAGATGGAAAAGAACATCGAGATAACGTTCGAAAAATAGTACACCCGGGCCTTAAACAATTTTTTTTTCTCTGAATAAAAGTAATAAGGCATGGAAATCCTTGCGCCATGAATTCTCAACCAAAAGCGGATGAAAAAATCTGGAAGATGACTTAAAAAATTTGTTCATTTCCTAGAAACTGGATGAAGTGGGCTGAGGGTGATCTGAAGAAGATAATCAACTTTATTAAATACCTAAAAATACGAGGTAGAGACGCCGCCATCTTTAAAACCCCTTTCCACAGAGGGAGGGGCTGTCAAAGCAAGATGGCGGCCTCACACCTGTTGACCACCTCGTATTTTTGAACATTTTTAAAAATTATTTGTCCCTTTCAGATCATCTTAGACTCATTTCATCCAGTTTCTAGAGACTGAACAAATTTTTCAAGCTATTCTTTCAATTTTCCCATTCCCTTTTGGCTGAACATTCATGGCGCAAAGCTTTACCCGCAGTTCAGTAGTTTTCGTTACTCCCAAGGTTTCTTAAAAATAAGAAAAAAAAACAATTATTTAAGGAATAGTTTTTTCACTCCCAGAAGCTCTGAAAAAATACAAAAAAATTAAAAATAAAATCTTAAAATATTCATCAAAGACGAATTCCCATGAAATGCTAATTTTTCCTGTTAGTGCACCTCTTCAACTCTGAAAACCTCGTATCGACCTCCTTCAACGAGGACCCAGACGACGAAAACCCCGAGGACGACGATCACTCCGAGAAGGACACAAGTGCCACCAGCATCGAGGTGCCCCCACCCCCAGAGATGACCTCATCCCTCGCGAATTACCTCAACAGTCTCCCCATGAAGAACCTCCCCATCTCCAGGAGCACCCCAGGCCTCTCCGACATCGACGAACTCATCAGGTTCTCGACCCGGGGGACCCGGGGTATCCAGACCCAGTCGTCAGTCTCTGCAATTCTCCAGAGCAGGGGGAGAAACAATTTCGGGGGGAGTGGGACCTACAGATTTAATTACGATCTCGGGGATGAGGCCATGTTCTCTGGGAGTTGTGAGGACCTCAGAAGGGGCGAGGGCCAGGTCTTCGGGGGGTATCTGAAGGAAAGGGGGAGAGGGGAGAGAACAGAGAGGAGAACTAAGGCCGATGGCAACTCCAATGTCCCCCCTCTTCCTGTGGTGGGCGGCAAGGGGGTGGAGGGGTTCGGAGAGAGGCCCAAGGTCAAATTCTCCAACACTGTGACACACATCCTAGTGCCCGGAAGTGTGAGTTCAGATTTTTACTGGAGAAATTACCAGTTTTGGTATATTTTGATTATTATTGAGGCATCAATTTCTCAAACTTCGCCGTCTGCTTTTTTGTTCTCAATTCGGCGGAATGGATAGCCGGTTCATATCAGTAGCGAAGTGGTAAAGTCAATTTTTACTATTGACACGTTTTGAATGAATATCTCGGAATCTAAGGGAGATGGCAAGATTTTTGTTATAATTTTTTTTGTAGAGCCGATTCAGTGCCACAATAAATATAATCACGAAAATGTCACTATCTCCCTTAGATTCGGAAATATTTCTCAAAAACTCAACTGGGAGATAAGTCGACTTAAGGCCCGGGTGTACTATCTTTCGAACGTTATCTCGATGTTTTTGTTTCATCTTTCGTCTTCTGAAATGGTCAATTAAGTCCTGCATCATGCAGAAGTTTTGAAAAATTATGAATGAATAATAAAAAAAAGTAGAAAAAATTCCTAATTTTCTCAGAGAGCATTTTTAATTTATATACAGAATAAGTTGAATAACAAGAAATTGAAAAATGTATCTGATTTACGGTGACAAATGGGGGCCTGTCACCCAATATCATGCAGGGGGAAGACTGATTTCGTAAATCTTTTCCCACTCTGCACAGAGACATTTATTACGGTAAAGGCTCTTTGAAAAAAGTTGTAATATTTTGGAGAATTTTTTAATCACACCTTTATCACATAAAAATGGCAGATGACTACATACCACTGTTTTGAAAATTGAGATACCTAGCTGTCACTTCCCATGAGGAGTTAGTGTTTTGTTATCCACAATGGAAAATGACAGCTAATGGATAATTTGCCACAGCGAATCAGATATTTGTAATTTCCACTTTTTTCAACTCATTCTGAATCCCAATTAAAAACACTCTTCGAAAAAGTTCAGAATGTTTTCTATTTTTTTATCATTCTATCATAATTTTTGGGAATTTCTACATGACGTACCACTCAATTGACAATTTTGGATTACGAAAGATGAAAAAAATTCAGATAACATTCGAAAGATAGTGCACCCGGGCCTTAAACCGTTTTACCAATTCACTACTGATATGTAATACGATCAAGTGTGCTCCTCAATCATTTTTATATGGCAACTCATCGAGATAATTGCACTTTTATTTGATAATTATAAGCATATTAATTGAGTAAGCAAATTCAATTTTGATATTATTCAGACTTGTGTTTACTTTCACAAAAAAACGTATAAAAAGTGTTCAGTTACTTATGGCACAGAAATTTATATGAAATGATTATTCCAAAAAATCAAATTATTTTTACGATTATAATTACTGGTAATCAATAATTGATTTAGGGACAGGGTTATAGACCCCTGCAACGTCCAGTGACTAAGCTCCACCCCATGGACCCCAAGAGGGAACTAGCAGAGAGTCTCCCGCTCTGCCTAGGAAACGAGGACTACCTTAAGGACTTCCAACCCCTCTCAAGTAATTCCTCTCTAAATAATCTCAAAAATTCCTGGCGAAAGCTCAATTTTTCAGACTCTGATTGATGTAATTAAGCTTCATAGACTTGATTTTAATTCCAGAAGACTCTGGGGCTGAGGAGAAACCGAAAGAGCCAGTGAAGACAGAGGAAGCAGCGAAAATCAAAGTCGTTCACTTCGGACTGTTATAAAACCCCAATTAACGAATTAATTATGGTTAATTAATTGTCATTATCGAATTCCGTCCAAAACTGAGAGATTGTTCCAGATATTTTTTATACTTTTATGTGGAAAATTAATAAATTTTCCGACTTTTTAATCAACTTTTGACCTTTATAAATTTGTTTTTTTCTTTTTCTAATTAAATCGATTATTTTTTGGGCTTCCGTATGCTCTCAAGTTCTGTCTTCAAATCCAGCAATTGTTTATCTGGGACGTAACGTAATTCCTCCCTCTCTGGCTTCCACTCTAGGACGTTCAGGGTGACACCCTCTGGAAGGGCTGCCTCCAGCATTCTAACGTAGACTGGAAATTTTGGGGATGGTAGGTCACTGATGAGAATGTTCCTCTCGTAGCAGTGGAGGATGTATTCTGCCTCGGCGACCGTCGATCGGGGCTTGAATTTCTGGATTTTTAGGTCTTGGGCGGGAATGGCATAACTGCGATAATAAAAACATAATTTGTTGTTAATTATTACTGGAGGATTTGTTTTTAATGGATTGGAGACGAGAGATGCATGAAAAAGATTTAGCTTGTTTTATTTTTGGGAATATCTTCAGAAGGAGTCAATTTGGAAAAAAATGACAGAAGAGATTTTTTGTGGGAAATTTCATGGGCTACAAAAAAGGTTTTATGACAATTTTTGATAAATCTGATCGGTTTGGAGATATTTTTAAAATCACATTGACATGATTTTTTGTTAACTCTATTGGTTGTTTAGAATCTGTAGTTTTCAGCTAATTATCTCATTAATGAATGGAATTTCGAGGACGTGTTGTAAAATATTTTTTGTGGGGAATTCCATAGGCTACAGAAAAGTTCTTATGGCATTTTTTCATAAATCTGATGGTTTCAGAGATATTTGAAAAATAAAAAATAAAGTTTTACTTATTCCATTAATTTCTGGAAATCTACTGATTTTCTCTCCATCTCCTTTCAATAATCACAATTAAATCATCAATTTTTGTACATCACCTATTATCTATCTCAAAATCCATATTAACAGCGATAATATGCGCCAATTTCTGATAACTCTCTAGAACAGGAAAATCGTATCCCCTCATCCTGATATTTACAACGGGATACTGTGGAATTTTTGGTTTCATTGTCTGAAAATCCAATGAGAACATGGAATGAATTGAATAAACAACGAAACCTTGATTAACGGTGTCATTTCATACATAAACAATGAGGACACGTATGAAAAAATTCAATAGAAAATCTAGCGAATTCGGTAGAAAAGTCTATTGGAATTCTATAGGAATTCTATGGAGTTTCTATAGGATTTCTATTATAATTGTATTAAAAAATTCGATTTGTTTTTTGCGCTGATGCTATCAGATATTCGATAAGACAAAACTCAATAGATTTCGAGTTTCTCTTCGAATTTTTCTCTTTGATTTTTTCTATTAGAAATTATTGGGCACAGATTTTCCAACTTTTTCCGCTGGATTTTGTTTTGTTTGCGTTACAGAATTCGAGTGGAGAAAACTTGGAAAATTGATGCCCAAGCATTCTTACAGAAAAAAAATCAAGAGAAAATTTCAAACAGAAATTCGAAATCTATTGACTTTTTCTTACCGAATATCCAATAGAATTAGCGCAAAAAACAAATAGAAATTTCCAATAGAAATCCTATAGAAATCCAATAGAATTTCCTAGCGAATTCGTTAGGTTTTCAATTGAATTTTTTCATGCGTGGAATTACAAAATAATAGAGCACTCACTTCCAGGTAATCAGGTGTCCACAGGCTGTAGCACCTGGAGATGATTCCAGACATCAGTCCTCTGGCCTCAATCACCTGTCGACAAGCCCTCATTCATCATGAAAATCAGCAAATGAATAAACAAATCATGAAACCCCACGATAATTGAGGTTATTCCCTAATACTTTCAATTTTCTTCGGATAAAAACATCGAATTACCTTTTTCGAAAGACACCCCATCATCTTCCCCCTCTGGACTCCCCCCGCACTCCCAAAAATATTCAACAATTATGAATTCACGAGAAAAATGCGGTAAAACAAGTTATATTTTATATTGATAACGTCAACTCCGGCGGAATGAAACAGATCACGTGGGCACAGGTATCAACAGGGTGGGGGTTAATTCCAGATTTTTAAGGCCTCAATATCTCTGGAGTGAACGATACGAACGGGACTATTTTGGTCTTATTTTGAAGTATGATGAAAAATATTGGGAACCAGGTGAGATTTTTTCAATTTCACTCAGCCAATCCTGAGTTGTTGACAATTACAGACCGTCATTTTAACGTGGTTTTCCCTATGGCTGCTTTTATCATCTTCAAAATCGCCTGAACGAACGACACGAATGGAAAAATCTTAGTTGTATCTCAAAGTGCATAAAACAATCTTGAAAATGAGCTCAAATTTTTTAAATTCAACTCAGCCAATCCCGACTTATGAACAATCAAAGTTCATCTTCTCGCTCCATTTCGCGATTCTCTTGCCGATTATCACATTTTCAACATCTGTAATTTCCTTTGAGCTGACGATCCGAATAAAATCCTTTTAATCTCATCCCAAAGTGTATAAAAAAACTTTTAAAATGAGCTCAAATTTTTTGAGCTCGACTCAGCGAATCCCGAATTATTAGCAATCAAAGAGCATTGATTTAACATGGTTTACCCTACGACCATTTTTATCATCTTCAATATTCCCTGAACAAACGGTACGAATGGACAAAGCTCAGTCTTATCTCAAAGTATATAAAAAAATCTGCAAAATGAGCTCAAATTTTTTCAATTCCACTCAGCGAAACTCGAGTTATCACCAATTAAAGGCCATGATTTTTGTCTCTGCCACTTCCATCTGCAGGGAAATCGTCGAAACACATCAGCGAATTTCACGATCATTTCGTTTTATTCTTGCCCCCAGTCCCGCCTCGACTCCGCGAGTTTCCAGTGCGACTCGCGATTTCGCGAATGACTGATAACTCGAATAACTTTTCCCGTTAAAATAACAACAGCAATCACAAACTGTTTATCTGGGATTAATTTCTCTAGTGGAGAACTGGATTGAATTCGTTGATTGATCACTTGTTACAATGTAAGTTATATCTATCACCTTTGAAAATTTGTTATGCATGTGTTGTCTCTTGTGTACTTGATACGCACATTAATTCAGGAGCTTGCCCTCATTACCACGTTACAATTATTAATTAAATTATTGAATTGGTTGAACTATTTCGAGTGATTATGAGTCAATTATAAGTCAATTATTCCCGGGAAAACTGGTGATTCAGTTGATTAATTGCCAATTAGAACGAGTAATTAAGTCGTAATCTCATGGATATTTCCATGTTTCCACAGTTTCTTTCAAGTGAATGAAGGATTCTCGTGATTTAGAGGGAATACCTTCATATTTTATTATATTCCATCATCTCCGATGTTTTATTTTAATTTCGACTCTGCGTCACATAGTTTTCGATGAATGGAAAACCCGGGAGCAATTATTTATCTACTTTTTCGCATATTTTGTTAATTTTTTTTTCTCCATTCGATTCTCTCGCGGCCATATGTGAAGAGCACGAAATTTACAAATGTTCTTCAATTTCCAATGATCATTTTTCAAGTCTATTGTTATTTTTTTTGTTTAATAGCATAAATTGAAGAGGAAATGACCGATTTTTTAATTGATGAAGTCGTGAGTCTCTTCCATTAATAAAAATTAATTAATTATTACTTATTATTATTCTGTAAATAATAATTAACTAATGCGTTAATTTACCGATCATTGTTTTTCATTCTTTATCAATTTTTATTTATGGCAGTGTTGACGAATTCTCGAATGATAATATATCGAAGATGAGGCGGGAGACAAAATCAGAGGAACTGATAAATTCAACATTTCAACAAATTTTTTCAAGTAAAAATGAAAAATTCTCGGGATTTAGAGGGAATTGATGGAGCGATTGTTATCGATGCCCTCAACTATTCGGGAATACCTTAATATTTTATCATATTCCATCATCTCCGGTGTTTTAGTTTCAGTTTTTAATCTGCGTCACAGAGTTTCCGATAAATGGAAAACCCGGGAGCAATTATTTATCTACTTTTTCGCATATTTTGTTGATTTTTTTTCTCCATTCGATTTTCTCGCGGCCATATGTGAAGAGCACGAAATTTACGAATGTTCGTCAATTTCCAATGATCATTTTTCAAGTCTATATTTATTTATCGTTATTTTTTTTGTTTAGTAGAATAAATTGTCGAGGAAATGTCGGATTTTTCAATTGAAGAATTCGGGAGTCTTCATTAATTATTTTTTGTAAATAATAATAGAGTAATTAATGATTAATTAATGCGGTAATTTATGGATTATTGTTTTTCATTATTTATTCATTTTTATTCATGGCAGTGTTGACGAATACTCGAATGATAATATATCCAAGGTGGGGCGGGAGACAAAATCGAGGGACTTGATAGATTCGATGATTAAATAATTGGTCAGGCCTCGTGTCGTCTCCGGAGATAACTGATATTCCATTCTCCTCTTTTTTAACAAAGACAATGATAAAACAATTGATCATCCAGGTTCTTATCACCAGTAATCATTTCCACATTCATATTCTAATCAAAATTAAATTGAAATAATTCGGTTATTAAAAACCCTTTTCCATTCAGTAATTATTCAATCCTGTCTTCTTAAGACAATTATAAAACAATTGATCATCCAGTTTCGTATCACCAGTAATCATTTCGACATTTATGTCGCGCCGTGCAATAAGCATTCTGCACGACTTGACATAAAATATTATAGAGCACTCGGTAATAAATTTCGAGGCGAGGTCTGTACACACATTCGTTGAAAACGAAATTTGTGCCCTTGTACTCTAATGTACTATTATATTCTAATTAAAATTAAGGCCGGGTGTACTACCTTTGAATGTTATCTGGATTTTTTTTATCTTTCGTAATCCAAAATTGTCAATTGAGTGGTACATCATGTAGAAATTCCCAAAAATTATGATAGAGTGATAAAAAAAATAGAAAAAATTCTGAACTTTTTCAAAGAGGGTTTTCAATTGAGATTCAGAATGAGTTGAAAAAAGTGGAAATTACAAATATCTGATTCGCTGTGGAAAATTATCTATTAGCTGTCATTTTCCATTGTGGATGACAAAACACTAACTCCTCATGGGAAGTGACAGCTAGATATCTCAATTTTCAAAACAGTGGTATGTAGTCATCTGCCATTTTTATGTGATAAAAGTGTGATTAAAAAATTCTCCAAAATATTACAACTTTTTTCAAAGAGCCTTTACCGTAATAAATGTCTCTGTGCAGAGTGGGAAAAGATTTACGAAATCAGTCTTCCCCCTGCATGATATTGGGTGACAGGCCCCCATTTGTCACCATAAATCAGATGCATTTTTTAATTTCTTGTTATTCAACTTATTCTGTATATAAATTAAAAACGCTCTTTGAAAAAATTGAGAATTTCTTCTACTTTTTTTATTATTCATCCATAATTTTTCAAAACTTCTGCATGATGCAGGACTTAATTGACAATTTCAGATGACGAAAGTTGAAAAAAAAAACATCGAGATATCGTTCGAAAGATAGTACACCTGGGCCTTAAATTAAAATAATTCGGTTATTAAATCCCTTTTTCCGTTCAGTAATTATTCAGTCCTTCTTATCAGTTAAAAATATCATCGATTGATCATCGACGTGAATAGGAATTCATGTTTATGAATAAATCGAAGGAGAAAAGCGCAAAAAGTTCAATTCTCTGTTTGGAAAAAATGAAAATAAATAACATAAAAAATAAGGAAGTGAATGACAGATTGACAAATGAAAAAAAAAACTGTATTTCTCAGTCATTATCAGTCAAACCACGAGTGCAAATGAAGATAGTTCACGCTTTCTTTATCAAACGATCCTCTCCTCTCTTTTAACAATTCTTTTCATTTGCAACTGGTTTTCGCTTTCCGGAAAAACCCGGCTGCGTATCAAACGATTGCAATTTCTCGTATTCGTTCACACACACACACCGAGTCGAAGCGCGGGTCCTTGATGAGTTGGTGGAGGTCATGGTAGCGGTTCGGATGACGATCCTCTTTGTGTTCGAACACGTACGAGTGCGACAGGTTCATTATCATATGAATTATTACTGTTGTGGGGCTTTCAGGCATTTTTCATTGGGATTATTCATGAATTACAGTTCGAGGAAGAAGGCATGAAGTCTGGAGAGTTGAAGGAAATAGTGAAGATAATTTTCCAAAGCCTGAATATTTTTTTTGTTTGAAAGCTAAATGAAGTAAAAGTCGATTGATTCAAAGAATTGATTTTTCAGTTTTTGGAATTGTGTGGTTATCTGGGGAAGGAGTGGTTTTAGGACAAAAAGTCGTAAGAGATCATTTGTAGATAATTCGATTTTCCACAAAAAATTTCATATGACATTTTCCCCTAAAATCACTCGTTCTTGAGATAATTGACATTTAGCGACTTCGAAAAAAGACTCTTTGTGCTGAACTACTTTACCACAAAAATTAATTTTTCGTGGCTAGAGAATAGTTTTAGTGACTCTAGGAATGTACTTATCTCCTAGTTTTATGTTCACGTCTATTCTATGTTTTCCTCTTGAGAAATAATAAATAAACAGCAGTAAGCCAGAGTTTTCCTTATTGATGGGACTCTAAGTGATAAAATTAGGAGATTATTTTAAAAATATCTCTTGGTCTGAAGGAGATGGCAAAATTTATGTGGAGATTTCTGCTCTAGAATATCGAAAAAATCCGCTATTTTCTATAGATAATATAAAGAGATCTCTAGATTTCTCTTTGCAATATTCTAATAAAAAAACATGAATCGAGGGATTTCCGGGAATCCACATGATCTTGATAAAAAAGCATTATTTTTAGATCGGGGAAAATGCCGATTCTCGCGGAGTTATCCCGCCGGTTACACCTGTTGACGACGGACGCCAAGCCCGACCCCCCTCGAATACACATAAATGATAACACGAATAATCTCGGGCCGAGATTGAGCCCGAAATCAGCACCACCGACACCGGAAGTCGAGAGGACGGATGAGAGTAAACGGGATAGACGTAGTTCGATGCCAGAGGGATCTTCCGATAGTGAGAAAGATCGAAGGAGTTCTCCAGAGACGAAGAAGACTCGATATAAAACGAAAAGCCATAGTATGAAAAATGGTGAATAAATTTTTCAATTGTAAATTTTCAAAAAATGATGAAAAAATCTGAGAGAATTCACTCATTCTCTAGGAATTGAATGAGACGAGTTGAAGTTGATTTGAAGAGAACAAATAATTTTTTTTAATATTCAAAAATGCGAGGTGGTCGACAGGTGCGGGCGCCGCCATCTTGCTCGGATGCCCCCTCTCTCTCTGCAAGGCTCATCAAAGATGGCGGCACCCCACCTCGCATTTTTAAACATTTCTTAAAATTATTTACCCTCTTCAGATTACCCTCAACTCACTCCATCCGGTTTCAACAAAATGAACAAATTTTTCAAGCCATCATTCATAATTTTTCACCCCCTTCCGGCTGAGAGTTAATGCCGCAAAGTTTTCCCCGCACTTCAACATTTTTTATTGACCCTCGAGACCTCTCAATCTCTTAATATCATATTCAACCCATTAAAAAAAATCTAAATCCTCATTTAATTAATCAATGATTAATTTTATCAATCAATAACATTAATTAATCCTCAATTTAATTAACCCAGGACAAACGGCAAACATCGTAAACTACAACATCGTCAATTCCAGTGGCGTAAAAATAGGAGGGACGACGACGTACGTGTGCAATGTCAACCAGTACCCAGGGAGCCCCCCGAAGGAGCCCAGCAGCCCTGGGAGGACTTCCCCTAAACCCAAGTGTGCACCAATGCCCGAAGAAGTCGAGTCCCTATGGAGGGAGAACAGTCCCCTGACTCTCGAAGACATGTTTGTGATAAAGACACACCTAGGGCGGGGCTGGAAGGACGTGTTCAAGGGTTTGGGATACTCCGAGGGACAACTGCAGCAGTTCGAGGAGCACCACAAGGATAAGGGCTTGGACGAGGTAATTAAGAGGATTTAATTAATTTTTAAAGAGTTAAAATCCACTTTCATCAGAAAAAACAATCACTGAATTTCGTATTGAATTTGTTTTCTCAATTCTCTCAGTAATGAGAGGGTTTAGAGGGAAATATTATAGGACATTTTTTGTTGGAAATTTTGTCAGCTACAAAAAAGGTTCAGAGCGATTTTTCGATAGATCCAATAGTTTCCGAGATATTCCCGAAATAAAGTCGAGAGATTCTTTGTTGTCGACAATTGTTCATTCAATCATGTTTTAGGTGATTTATCAAACATTACTGGACTGGAAGCAGTCATCGGGGAGCGAGGCGAGACTCGGAGTCCTCATAAAAGCCTTGTGGAGGTGTCAGCAGTACGACTGTGCTCGGAGGCTAGTCCAATCCCACAAAAATCTCTGAGTAAACATTCCCAACGTGAGGCGCCCACTTTTCACACTTGTGTCACCTCAACTTATCGTCTGATATCGATAAATGATCGATAATAATTAGTAATCGTTCGAAAATCAATCATTAATCTGATGGAACACTTAATTTAATCAATTTATCTTGATTCGTGATTGTCAATTGGAATTGCTCGACTCTTGTTACCGTTTGAATATATTTTTATTGAGTAAACGTCTTTTTTAAATCGTGTCTACATAATTTTTTATTCAAAAATATAATTTATCATTAGAAGATACGAAATATTAATTCAGAATATTTGGTCAAATTTTTGTTTGTAGTTTAGAAATCAAAAGTGAAGTGATCATACAGTTTTTCGTGAATATCTTTAAAACTATGCGAGATGGAGAAATTCTCATTTCGAAGTTTTTTTGGGAAGAAAACGGAGACCTACAAAAATGTCTGAATGAAAATTGCGCCATCCCCAATAGATTCAGAGATATTCATCAAAAAATAAAATAAAGTCGACTTTTCCTTTTTCACCACTTCACTATGAATTCAACAATTATTCGACAATCGTTCATCATCAAATGCAATCGATACGAACTCGTTACACAGTCACACGCCTCTAAATTACACTTAAACCCGGATATATTGGTGAATTAATGAATGAAATGAGTGAAAAAAATGATTAAACCTGAGCTTCCAATATTTAAATGCAAAAATTAATGGTTTTCAAGGAAGGAATTGTGGTCCCCTCTTGTGTTCACGAAATGCAGTGCAAAAATCATTCTTATCCCTATTTTTTAAAAATCTTATCATCGAATGAAACCCAGGATTTGATCCATAATAAAGTGCTTCAATTAATCAGATGCAGCTCCAAATTTTGGTGAACTCACTGGCGATGTGAGCCGTCTCGACTCCCTCTCTGATTGTCCACAGCTCTCGAAGATCCTCGTCTTGCACTTTTCGAACTGCACGAACATCTCCTCCATGCTCTGGTCAGCATCGAGGATTATTATTGGGGCTGGGACATTAAACAGAGTTTTGTGGTACAGCCATTCTTCGTGGATTTGGTGAATTTGTTCGAGGTACTCCAGAGAGACGAGTTTCTCTTCCTTTCGAGCACGAGCTCGCATTCTTTTGTAGACGATGTCAGGAGTTGTTCTCAAGTAAACTATAACATAAGGACATTGGCATAAAATCAACAATTGCATTATTAATATTGCGGGAAGCCAATTGTCAGTAATTTACTAATTTACTGTTACGTAGAGACAATTGTTGATTGATTATTATTATTATTTATTGCTCAACAGGAGACGAAGTCTCCCATAGCAAGGGGGAAGAGCCACACACGATGCAGTGATCGTGTTACAAAAATAAAATATATTAGAAACTAAATCTGTAGCGAAGTGGCAAAACGGTTTAAATTGATTTTGGCTATTGGCCATTTTTCAGTGAATATCTCGGAATTTAAGGGAGATAGCTGAATTTTTGTCAAGACCTTTTTTGTAGCACTCAATTTGCCCTAGAAAAAAGGTCATTACGAAAATTTCGCTATCTCCTTCAGATTCGGAGATATTCTTCAAAAACTCAACTAAGAGATGAGTCGACTAAACCGTTTTACCACTTCACTACTGAAATAAAAATTACAAAATTAAATTTAAAATTACGTTTAGGATGAAAGTAATCCCATAACCCTCACTCACAGAGTTTGCGCAGGAGTCAGTAATTGATTCACGCACTTTAAAACAATTTGACATAAAATGAAAATGGAAATTGACCATTATTGATTGATTTACTGGGAATTGGGAAATAAATTAACGAATTAATTAAAGTAAAAACAAAACGTTTGGAGAAAAATATCAAAAGAATTTTTCAAGAATTGAATTTTCTACGAGAGAAAGCACCTGATATTCTTCCTCAAACATTCATATTAGACTTTAAATATTGGAATTAAAAATCGATGAAAGATTTTGATGAATCGAAATAAATAGGGCAATGAACTATGTTGATGATAACTTACCTATCAAGTCTGTTTCAATGACTGCATGTGTGATAGACCACTTGTGCCATTCCTCAAGTACAGTTACCTCAACATCCTCCAAGACATTCATTCTCTTCATGCTTTCGATGAAACAACGAGCACTGTAGACAGATCTCTCCATGACTTTATAAGGGAGAGGAGATTTCATCGTGTGAAGCTGCAGCATTGTCAGTTGCACGTACGACTGGAAGAGGCAGGCGTACTTCGTAGGGTCTTTATACATTAAATCCTGTGAGTGGAATAAAATAAAAATCGAAGAGAGTGAATTTTTAAAAATGGTGGAACGATCAATCAAAAACTGACATTTCCTTCTGTTAATTTTGTAAATATCTCCTCAATGAGGGGTTTTAGAGGAAAATGTCAAAAGAATATTTTTGTAGGAAATTAAATTCTGCAGGAAAAATATTTTGTGACATTTAAAAAAAAATCAATCGTTACGGAGATAATTAGGTGTTTATGGAGTGATTTTTACCAGGAGGTTCATCCCCTTGACGTTTCTCCACAGCTCCACAGGCTCCTGCAGGACCATTGTGTTATTAAACTGCTTGAAATTGTTTAGAAATGTTGTTTTACCACTTCCAATGTTGCCTTCTATGCACACAGTGAAGGGACGTCTGCTGTTTTTACAGGGGGACGCCATTTTTGTGATTAATATGAATCCACGTCTTGCTGAAGGGACAAAAAAAATTGAAAAATTACTCGTCTTTTTTTTAATTAAAAAATAATGAATGAGTAATAAAAATCGTTAGAATAACAAATTGTGAGGACACAGTGGGTTTCTTAACATTCAAATGATGCATTATGCTCATTCATCATGAAATAAACGGAAAAATTGAATGAAGCAAACGGGAGAAGACAAGAAAAGTCAATTTGACTTTTATTTTCACGCGAGTTTTTGATGAATCCCTTGATATCTCTGGATCTATCAGAGATAGCCAAATTTTCATTTGAGCCTTTTTTGCAGCTCTGAATTTTCTCTACAAAAATGTTCTTATGAAAAATTCGTCTATCTACCTTACTTCCTGAGATATTTCCCGAAAACTGATCTCGAAACCGAACAGACTTCTGATTTCACTAGTTAACCGTCAACAACCAAAACACCTGCTCATATTCTGTCCTGATCACCGAATATTTTCCAAACCACAAACAATTAACCTAATTAATCATTAATGAACCTTGTTAGATACCCAATCGCTCTCAGATCCTCATGACTAAACCCCAAGAATTACCCAAAATAACACAAATCATTGATTTAAATGAGTCTAACGGAATTTCTAGTGCACAGGAATGATTTCGAAGAGTTGGACGATGTTGCACCAGCTCTGAAATGAAACTGGAAGTATAACCCATAGCTAAATCCCGCCAACACACAGCTAAGTCCGTTATTTGCCCGCCAAAACCAATCTTGTGGTCAGTGTTGTTGCCGTACAATTTTGAATTCCCTATATTGTAGTTCAGGTCGCGAAATGACCGTCATTTTGTGATTGTGTCATATGACCAAAAAATGACGGTCATGTGACGTCCCGAAATTTCTAATGGCAAATGACGGTCACATTTTTTGTGACCGTCACAAAGAATTTTTGACCGTCAAAAGAGTAAAATAGTAATTTCCGTTATCAAACCATCTATATAGGTGCAAATTGACCGTCATAAATACATTGCTTTTTGTGACGGCCATATAATTTCTACATAATTGGCATCGTTTATTCGTTCAATTTATTATTGATTATCAATTATCGTTTATTATAAGGTTCTTATGGAAGACTCGAAATGTATGTGTACAGCTGTAAAACAGCTTTTTTTAATTATAAAATTATGAAACATGTGCTTACACATGTGATTGTGTCATTTGTGATTGTGTCACATGACCAAAAAATGACGGTCATGTGACGTCCCGAAATTTCTAATGGCAAATGACGGTCACTTTTTTTGTGACCGTCACAAAGAATTTTTGACCGTCAAAAGAGTAAAATAATAATTTCCGTTACCAAACCATCTATATAGGTGCAAATTGACCGTCATAAATACATTGCTTTTGTGACGGCCATATAATTTCTACATAATTGGCATCGTTTATTCGTTCAATTTATTATTGATTATCAATTATCGTTTATTACAAGGTTCTTATGGAAGACTCGACATGTATGTTGTACAACAGCTTTTTTTAATTATAAAATTATGAAACATGTGCTTACACATGTGATTGTGTCATATGACCAAAAAATGACGGTCATGTGACGTCCCGAAATTTCTAATGGCAAATGACGGTCACATTTTTTGTGACCGTCACAAAGAATTTTTGACCGTCAAAAGAGTAAAATAGTAATTTCCGTTATCAAACCATCTATATAGGTGCAAATTGACCGTCATAAATACATTGCTTTTTGTGACGGCCATATAATTTCTACATAATTGGCATCGTTTATTCGTTCAATTTATTATTGATTATCAATTATCGTTTATTATAAGGTTCTTATGGAAGACTCGAAATGTATGTGTACAACTGTACAACAGCTTTTTTTAATTATAAAATTATGAAACATGTGCTTACACATGTGATTGTGTCATTTTGTGATTGTGTCATATGACCAGAAAATGACGGTCATGTGACGTCCCGAAATTTCTAATGGCAAATGACGGTCACATTTTTTGTGACCGTCACAAAGAATTTTTGACCGTCAAAAGAGTAAAATAGTAATTTCCGTTATCAAACCATCTATATAGGTGCAAATTGACCGTCATAAATACATTGCTTTTTGTGACGGCCATATAATTTCTACATAATTGGCATCGTTTATTCGTTCAATTTATTATTGATTATCAATTATCGTTTATTATAAGGTTCTTATGGAAGACTCGAAATGTATGTGTACAACTGTACAACAGCTTTTTTTAATTATAAAATTATGAAACATGTGCTTACACATGTGATTGTGTCATTTTGTGATTGTGTCATATGACCAGAAAATGACGGTCATGTGACGTCCCGAAATTTCTAATGGCAAATGACGGTCACATTTTTTGTGACCGTCACAAAGAATTTTTGACCGTCAAAAGAGTAAAATAGTAATTTCCGTTATCAAACCATCTATATAGGTGCAAATTGACCGTCATAAATACATTGCTTTTTGTGACGGCCATATAATTTCTACATAATTGGCATCGTTTATTCGTTCAATTTATTATTGATTATCAATTATCGTTTATTATAAGGTTCTTATGGAAGACTCGAAATGTATGTGTACAGCTGTAAAACAGCTTTTTTTAATTATAAAATTATGAAACATGTGCTTACACATGTGATTGTGTCATTTGTGATTGTGTCACATGACCAAAAAATGACGGTCATGTGACGTCCCGAAATTTCTAATGGCAAATGACGGTCACATTTTTTGTCGATCAGACTTCGTACATGGACTAGAAGTCATTACAATTTCTGTTTCCTCTTCAACTCTCCTAGATATAATAGGTATAATAGTNGTAATTTCTACATAATTGACATCGTTTATTCGTTCAATTTATTATTGATTATCAATTATCGTTTATTACAAGGTTCTTATGGAAGACTCGACATGTATGTGTACAACTGTACAACAGCTTTTTTTAATTATAAAATTATGAAACATGTGCTTACACATGTGATTGTGTCATTTTGTGATTGTGTCATATGACCAGAAAATGACGGTCATGTGACGTCCCGAAATTTCTAATGGCAAATGACGGTCACATTTTTTGTGACCGTCACAAAGAATTTTTGACCGTCAAAAGAGTAAAATAGTAATTTCCGTTATCAAACCATCTATATAGGTGCAAATTGACCGTCATAAATACATTGCTTTTTGTGACGGCCATATAATTTCTACATAATTGGCATCGTTTATTCGTTCAATTTATTATTGATTATCAATTATCGTTTATTATAAGGTTCTTATGGAAGACTCGAAATGTATGTGTACAGCTGTAAAACAGCTTTTTTTAATTATAAAATTATGAAACATGTGCTTACACATGTGATTGTGTCATTTGTGATTGTGTCACATGACCAAAAAATGACGGTCATGTGACGTCCCGAAATTTCTAATGGCAAATGACGGTCACATTTTTTGTCGATCAGACTTCGTACATGGACTAGAAGTCATTACAATTTCTGTTTCCTCTTCAACTCTCCTAGATATAATAGGTATAATAGTCTAGGTATAACATGTCGATGGTTGACGCAATTGCGTTGAGGGTAATGAGTGATTACTCAGTTGATTATGATTGATTTGGATGCACTTACCCAATGACACCATCTTCAGACGATTATTCTGGCACTGGAATTTGTTTTAAACTTCACATTATTATTTTATTCGGGGGTTCGATTAGAGTAAAGTGAATTTTTAGTGGTGGTTGAGAGGGCCGTGGAGCACCGGTGTGCATCGACATTTTCTTCTTCTATTTTTATGGCACTGACTATATCAAGTCTGCGGCTGTTGTCCCTCTAGCGGGGCAACATCGACATTTTATTAAAGTGCTTCTTACCAAAGTATACTATATTATAACTTATAACTCCAGCCGTAATACCCCCACTCTACCCAAATCCCCACTTATGCTAGTGCTCCCCACCACTGAAATCGAAATTACTTCTTTAGTAAAATTTAGTATATGACTCAGTCGGGATAGGAGGTCTCAGTTGTATCTGTAGAACTACAAATCCTATTTCTGACGAATGTGACGTTATAATCAAATGAGTCAGAAAATACTTTTACTGCCGTGTGGTACACGATATTTTATGCCTCCAGGACTGAAAACCGCGATTTAACCGAGCGAAGCGAGGTTAGAATGGCGGTTTTCCGCCCCTAGAGGCATAAAATACTTTTTCATCACGCTGTGACGAAAAGTAAAATTTTCGGCACGCTCCGCGTGCCTAACAGTCCAATTTCCGCCACATTGTGATGAAAAATATTGTTCGTAAATCGTGAAAAAATGTTTTTTAGCTCGTGGGATTATATCACACGCCGAAGGCGAGTGATATAAACCTCCCACTCGCCAAAAAACACTTTTTTGCACTCGTTACGAAATATACTATTACTCTCTAGGGGCACAATATACTATTACTAAAGATGAACGAAACGTGAAGTTGTTTTATATCGAAATATCTCGAAACTGCCTGACCGCTAATCCTTAAATCTGATTGGTCAATATATGACACGAAGTATTCACAAAAACAATACGCGGCATTTTCAAATTCTTCAGAGGTAAATTTTTTTTTCACGATATATATATATATATATATATATATAATATATAGATTTCAGATGTATATATATTATCGGTGAAATTAATAAATTCTGTCCTTTTATGGAGACCGATTATTTAAAAAAATTGAAGATAATTAATTGAAAATGAAAAATTCTTTATAGATTCTTTTACTCTATTTCGCTATTCACTTCAATCATTAGTCGAATTCTCTTTGATTCATTATCAATATTTATAAGGTATTCATGAGAAAATTAAATTCAATGAATTCCATTTTTTCATGTCAACAAATGAATAGATTAGCGCGCGCGTAGATCTTGTCTAAGAGAAATAGGGAATTAGGGGAGGTTGGGGTAAAATAGACACTTGACTTTTTTTTTATATATGTTAATGACAGCTTAAAATGTTGGTGAAATTCAGTATTTTTTTTTTCAATGCAAAGAGCACATTAATTTTTTTTTCAATGTAATGAGCCTAAACCAGCGGAGCGATTTTGCTCGTTTTATGTCGACATAAAATCATAAATTTCAACCAATCCTAGTTGAGTATTCTGAATCCAGGCAATTTACGATTTTATGTCGACATAAAATCATAAATTTCAACCAATCCTAGTTGAGTATTCTGAATCCAGGCAATTTACGATTTTATGTCGACATAAAACGAGCAAAATCGCTCCCCCTAAACTGAGCTCAATTAATAAATTTGTTTCTCAGTTATGAGTAATTTAAAAAAAGTCCAGTGTCCATTTTACCCCATCCTCCCCTAATTATTAAATTTGCTTTTGCAGTTTTCGATTTTTTCTTCCAAAAAGGTCTAGATGGATATTTCGATATTCTTGATAGATCCAGAGATATTTATCAAAAACTGAAGGAAAGGCCTCTTATTCCACCCCTTTTCCTTTTATCTCCTTCACAAAATCATTTTAATCATGAAGAAATTATGAAGCAAAATAATAGTTTAATTCACAAAATAAAATACTACAATAAAAATCCACTGAAATGCGGGGATGACATGGAGTCATGAATTTTCACTCAGGGAGGGGTGGAAAAATGAGAAAGATGGTATAAAAAATTTGTTCATTTTGTAAAAACCGGATGAAACAAGTTGAGGGTGATTCAAAGAAGATGAATAATTTTAAAGAATGTTTAAAAATACGAGGTGAAGGCGTCGCCATCTTGCTTGCATAAAGCCTTTAAATATGGCGGCAGCTCCACCTCGTATTTTTGAACATTTTTAAAAATTATTTGCCCTCTTCAAATCACTATCAACTCGTATCATATAGTTCCCAAAAATTGAACAAATATTTCAATCTATTTTCCAGATTTTTTCATCATCTTTTAGCTGATAATTTATAGCGCAAAGTTTTTCCCGCATTTCAGTAGTTTTTTTTTTACTCCTTCGGCCTGCTGATTATGAAGAGAAATATTGTAAAATAAATTTCAATCTCTGGACTTTTTTTAAAGAAAAATTCAGAGATATTTATCAAAAATGGACATAAAGTCTCGTTTAAAATCCATTAAAAAATCCTGACAGTTTAAAAAAGTACTGAATAAATATAAACATAAATAGAAAATTGAAGGCCTTTAATCCACGAAAAAAAATACTCCCACAATATGAATTCTTTATTTTTATTAGTAAGTAATATTAAACTCTTTACATACTTCTTACTCATTTCTCGTTATAATGGATAAACTGATAGAACTTTTTCATCAAAACTCGTACTTACTCACTCACTCGTTCTCTCATGACATTGACATACTAATGATTAATTAATATATGTATAGTCCCATCAAAAACACTATGCACTAACTGATTTCACACGATCGTCACAGTTTTTCCCCATCCTTAAATCGTTTCATTCGTAATATCCTCTAATGTTCATCGTATCTCTTCTAATCTCTTAAAAAATCTACTCGATGGTTCATCCTCAAGAAAGAAAAGCAGCTCAAAGCATATTTCAATCCACACAGGTGTTCACACGTCCCTAATTGATCTGCAATCCTCCTAAAAATAATACTAACTGGATTTTTTATCAGTCGTATTGTTCTTTTTACGGTTCTCCATGGGTTGTTTATCGAACTGTGAAGAATTTTTCATTAATCTAACGAAGAATAATGTTGTTACGGTTTTAGGCACTAAAATATATACGAAATATGCAATTAAAAATTGTTTACCTCTTTTTTAAGTTGAAAAATTATGGGGAAAATTAAGAGTCATCAGATCACTAGTTTATAAATGCGTAGGGAATAACTTACACATCTTGGAAGAGTTTGTTGGAGGAGGCAAGCTCGAGGATTGATTGCACTAATTGGAAAGAAAATTAATTAGAATGGTGAGATTTATTCGGTGATTGGAGTGGATTAAATGAGATTTTTTGGGAATTTAAATTATTTCAAGGAGTGGGTTTAGACGAGAAGTCACATGTGTTTTGTGGGGAACGTCTTTTACAATTTTTTAAAAATTTATTCATTACTGAGATAATTAAATTATTAATGAAATGGAAAAGATCGAATCTTTTTTTATTTAAATTTCAAACGCTTCTTGTTGAATATGGAATTATCTCTGGAATTAATGGAACTCAATTATATTCTCTGATAAACTCATTAATTACTGAGATAATTTAATGATTAACAGAATGTAAAAAAAAATTTTTTTAGACTCCTTGATTTTTTTTCATGAAAAATGAGAATATCTCCAAAAGTAATCGATTTATTGAGAAAGGTCCCGAACCTTTCTTATAAATACACTCGTTACAGAGATAATTTAATAACTGACAAAATGTAAAAATGATTGTAATCGTGATTTCAAACATTTTTCATCTAATTCGCAATTATCTGTGACACTAATGATTCAATAAAAGTCCCTTGACATTTCCCATCCCAAAAATAATCTAATAACCCGATAACATCCATCCACACCCAAGAAAAAAATCGTGCAATTCAAAAAACCATATTCGTCGTAAACACTCAACCATTTAATTACCTCCGAGAACTACAAACGTCGATCGACTCCCAAAGGAAAAGAAAATAATTCAACATCTCCTTAAACCTCATTACTGGGACAGTTATTACAATTATTATTCATCTCCATTTCATTAACCAATCTTACAAAGTACAAAAATTCTGCCTCACAATATTACTAATTAATGTTCCACTTCAATCATCAAAATTACGCCTCATCTCTCACTGGCAGTAGACCATAATCATCTAGAATCCATTCAGACTAATTTTCAACGTGAAATATAGTCATCACGACTCACAAGAATCATTTTCCCCACTAACATTAGCATTTCGTACTGTCCAACCACAAAAAAACCATTTTATCAATAGAAAAGAGAAAAATAGTAATGAAAAAATAAGAAAATTATCGACAAAACGAGGAAAAGGGCTTACCTCCTCAACGAAAAGAAAAATCTATTTCACATTTGTTAAAACTAATTTAATTCGCAATTTGGAATTTTTTCAGCCAATGATTTCACCCCCCTTCACTTCGTGAAGACGAGGCAGTGGGACGATTGCAAAGGATAACGAAAAAACGTCTCTCAGTTTATGTTTTCTGTTTGTTTTCCCATTTTTCGTTTTTCATTCTCAAGATGTGAACTAGTGGAAAGTTGATGACGGGCTGCGGTAGTAAAGGGGAACAGGGGGATGAAGTTTCGAATTGAGGTACAAGGGGGATGTGTGAATGATTCAGTCCTGCATCTCCTCGGGCATTTCGTGGGGATTGAGAATGCCTGGTACAGCCATCTGTTGTCTTCTCTTTTCCTCCTGGGCAAGTCGAAGGGCTGTCTCTCGTTCCTCGAGGTAAAGATCCGAGTCATCTTCACCTGTGTACTCCTGTGTTCAAAAGCAAAATATAATTTTAGTTCCTTTGTTGTTATTTTCAAGACGACGAATGCATTTTTTTTCAATTTGGACTTGAATTTAAGGCCCGGGTGTATTATCTTTCAAACGTTATCTCGGTGTTTTTTTTTCATCTTTCGCCATCTGAAATTGTCAATTAAGTCCTGCATCGTGCAGAAGTTTTGAAAAATTCTGAATGAATAATGAAAAAAAAGTAGAAAAGTACTTTTATGGTAGTATAAGTACTTTTATTTTAAGTACTACATGATGTACCACTCAATTGACAATTTTGGATTACGAAAGATAAAAAAAGTCCAGATACCATTTGAAAGAGAGTACACCCAGGCCTTAAGGATAAAAGTGAAAAATGTGTTCACATTTTTGGAAATATCTTGGAAATGGAGGGATTGAGGGGAAAATGTCGCAAGAAATTTTTTGTGGCGAATCAAATTTCCTACAAAAAATTCCCTATAAAATTTTTGTCTAAATCCGTTGCTTCTCAAGATATCTCTAAAAAATGCAACTTTTAAATTTGTCAAAACGAAAATAATTGCTTTTTCGTTCCAATTTCAAACGTTTCTATCTCCACACCGAGTGCAGCTAGAAGAAAACGCTATTTGACTTTTATATCCAAAATATCAAGCGCTAGAAAAAGTGTCCGCAACATTTTCCTCCAAAGGCACTAGTTCCCACGATATTCCCAAAACACCATCACCAAAAACCCAAAACCTCCAAATCCATCAAATCAATCTCCCCAAAACCCCACCGATTCCCCCAAAAATCGTCTCCACTCACCCTGATTTGCACGAGGAAATCCCTGAGATGTTCCTTGAACGCCGGAATATCCTGATCCAAATTAAAAAGCCCCTGCACCGTGATCTTGATCTGATTATCCGTGAGATGTGGGAATGCAGCCTTAAGTAGTCTCGCAACAAATTCCTGCACATAGATCCTGTTGTCAGGGGCCGGCCCAAGTGGCACCTGGATCCTCCCGAGTTCAACCAGCGTGAACATATACGCAAGAATAGTGGCATGCATAGTTAACCCAGCAGTATGCGACGTATCCGTAACAACACTGAATATATGCTGAAGAATATCCGTGAAGTACGTCTGATAGAAGCTCTGGGCGGCCTGCTCATGCAATTCAATATTCTGAAGTAACTGATAAAGAATCTGCAGTCCAGTATCAGCAACATTTCTCATTGTATGTTTAAATGCCCAGATGATGGAGTCCAACACAAGTTTAAATTGTGCCGGTGGAATAGACAAGAAAGCCGGAAAACAATGGACATTGACAGCCTGGAGTAGTAGAAAAAAATTAGTCCTGTGCTCTGGAAACTCCTCAAAGTCCTTATTTATCATCTCCAGCGTGCACTCAAAAACAGCATCAAATATCTTGGGCACCTCGCTGGTGATATGTCCCTCGAGTTTATTAACAATAGTGGCCATTGCACTGAGCACCTCAGGCTCCCTGGCACAGGGGACATTTGTCTTCTGATAGTCCAGTAGTACAGCATCAAGCAGTGGAGGAATGAAGTTCTCCAGTACCATCTGGTGATCGTTGGATCTGCTGACCCAGTCTGATATCAACTTGAGTGTCTCCTTCTTTACAACTCTCATACTCTTTATCAAGGGCTGTTTCATAACAATTTCACCATTTAAAGCAATAGCAGCACTAATGTTCTCACTCATAACTTTGTATACGTTCAACATGTCTAAATATATTCTACCTAACTGCATAACATAGGGATGTCCAAGGGCTTTACACGCTCTGACATTGGTCTTGAGAATGCTGGCAAGCTGTTTAACAGCCTCCTGATCCTTCAGTACATCGACATTCTTCGATGCCTGACTGATAATTTCATCCCATACGCGATTTGGTAGCAACATGTAACGTTCAATTCTGTCTTTCTGGGTGAGATCGTCCACCTGGGCGCTTATCATGTAGCCAACAGCCTCGTAAAATGTGTGGACTTGTTGGGTCTGAAGGTCACAAATTATGCTGCTGATTGTTGAGAGTATTTCCTCGATGAACGGAACAGACTCACCCACTTGGGTCTGTACAAAATGACGTCTGCATTTCAGGGCTATCTTGATGAATGTGTCGCAGGCCATGTCCTGAACACCGTCGTGGGTTTCGTGCATAAATTCGAAGAGTTTGTTGACCACTGTCTTCAGGAATTTCCAGTGGGCTCGGAGGAATCTCGGGTACTGGCCCACAACGTACATTATGTTTGAGGCGATTATCGCTTTATTGTCCTTTCCCTTCTTCTGCTCGCACAGACCCAGCAGCTCTTTTATAACTGTCACTAGGAAACGCTTCTCGTCCTCTTCGTGCATTGCACCGGAGATCGAACCTATCGCCCAGCAGAGGGTGTTCAGGTTCTTCCAGGACCATTCGGAACCGTTCACCTGGGAGGGAGCGACGTTAGTCAGTGGTTTTTGCGGTATTACGGGGGTGTTAATGGGGATGAATCATTGTCGGAAAAATGGGGATCATTGGTGATCATTGAGAAATGCAATTAACGAAGTAAATTGGAGTTTTATTGGGCATTTGACAGCTGAATGGGTGATTTATTATTCAGATTATTATATTGGATGGTGAATAATGCAGTTCTGAACGTCTCGAATGCCATAAGACTTTTTTTGTAGAGAATTGAATTTCCTACAAATAATTTTTACAACATTTTTATTTACATCTATTACTTCTCGAGATATTTGTAGAATACCGTCACTTGAAATTGCGAAATCCAAAGGAATCTTTTTTTCGTTATAGTTTTAAACGTCTCTATCTCAATAATGACGGATGCTAGAAAAAAATGTCACGAGACTTTTTTGGAGAGATTTTCAACAACTACAAAAAGTTCGTATGACATTCCCTTGTAAATTCAAAAGTTACCAAGATATTCCGAAAATAGAATCGGTAAAAATAACGCCAATCAGTCTTGCCAAAAACCTCACTAACAAATCCAGTTTTTTCATTAATGTTTTTGGTAATTAATAAATAAAACTATTTGTTCATAGTTTATTAAGTGATTACTGATTACTGGAGTAGTCAAAGTTCTTCCTAGATCTATTCAACTTAAAAATGCCAATTTAATCATAATTTAAGGATATCCAAGTACTTTGACTATTTTTTCTCCAGCGAAATGCTTTTCTACTTTTGTTTTATCATTTAAACTTTGCAAGTCTGAATTTGAATGTCGATATTGACACGTGAGAAAACGTTTTAAAAATCTGAAAATAGAAAGTTTACTTTTGGACGAAGATAGATGAAATGATGAAAAATTGCATTTTGGACAATTACGAGCGTTTTCTATAATTTATAAACAATCAATTTTCCACCATAAAAATCATTTGTTCAGAATGGTAACCGATTTATTTATATTCAGAATTTTACCAGAAATCGATTTCCACTCTAAAAAAATTAGATTTCCGCAAGTTTAAAGAATTCAGTAGCGAAGTGATAAAACTGTTTAAGTCGACTCATCTCCCAGTTGAGTTTTTGATGAATATTTCCGAATCTAAGGGAGATAGCGAAATTTTCGTAATTACAGTTATTGTAGCTCTCAATCCGCCCTACAAAAAAGGTGATAACAAAAATTGTGCTATCTCCCTTAGATTCCGAGATATTCATTGAAAACTAGTCAATAATTAAAATTGACCTGTACCGTTTTACCATTTCGCTACTAAATGATTAAAAAATAATAATTCTGGGCAAAATGTAATTTGAATGACGCTGAATATCCGTGATTTCTTTCAGATTTTTCTCACGCAGTTTAATTGACAAATTTAATGATTGATAACGGTTGAACGAATAGTGTGGTCTGTATGAAACTGCAAAAGACAATTGCACATCCTTAACACTAAAAATTAGTCTATTCCTGTTACCTGGTTCTGGAGTTTCTCTGTCATGACTTTTTCAGTGTCTGCATAGTCCAAGTGGGTGAGATAAACCAGGGTCTCACGCATATTCTTGTAGAGATTAATGGAGTCCGTGTCCTTCATGAATTCACGAACAACTTCACCGTTTTCATTCTCCACCACGAGGACTTCCTCAGGCTTAGCCATTCTCGAAATCATGATGTAACGGACTTTCGTGAGGACTGGACAGTAGAAGGCTCTTCTCGGTGGAATTGTCATGTTGTTTTTAGCCATGAAGAGGGGTGACGATGACATGAAGGGATTCTCCTTGTAGAGGTCTGCTGCCAGACCGTTCCAGTACTCCAGGCAGATCTTGAAAATCTCGACTTCCTCCACTTCGGAGATCAGGACGAGGTAGTGGAGGGCTTTCAGAAGGGTCTCGTTCAGCTGCTTCTTCTCCACTAGCTGGCCGTGCTCTTTCAGGTAAGTACAGAGGAACATTGCCAGGTTCTGGATAAAGTTCTGCTCCTCGTCCTGGCCGAAGGCGTAGGCGTCTCGGATGTTCGTGTCGTGGGGGAGCATCTGCTCCAGCTGTTGCATTGTATTCGCGAAGAGGAGGATGAACATGTCGTCGTAGTTGGTGACTGTCACTGCTGCTATCTCCGTTAGACACTTCAGGGTGACGTTCCTGAAGATCGGGACGTTTAAGAACTGAAATGACCAAGTTTATGGATTATTTTGAAAGAGGCAATTTTTAGAAAATTTTTCCGTAATAACGATAATAATGATAATTTCATTTATTTAATTTTTGGGGGATTATTTTTTATTTTATTCAAGGGGAGACTACCACGAATTTTAAAAGAGGCGGGCGATTGGAGTGAGATTTCTCATGTGTTGAAGATCGATTACATATGTCTGAAAACGAATAATTAGTGTAAAAAAAATAATTATTTTTGTTTAACAATCACCAGTTAGTTGTTGAAATTCAGTGATAAAAATTATGGAGTGGAAGATTTACTGAGAAGTGTTTTGTTGTAAATAACTTTGAAAGTATTTTGAACTGCTGTGATTGAATAATGAGATGAATGAAGAATTAGAATCACTTCATAAATTCGTGAATATCTCTGGAACTATTACTACTATCACAAAATGTAAAGAGACATTTTTTCTCGTTAAAAATCCCCCAAGAAGTACAAGTTAATAAACCAATCCAGAGATACTTGTCCCACTTTTTTTATATACAAAAATAATGAACAGTTCTTCTACAATAAAAATACGAATAGTTCATGAATAGTTGTTTAAATTACCTTGAATATTAACGTAGTGATCAGCTTCGTTTCAAAAATATAACCCAGTGGAATCCAGTTTAAAAACCTGAGTAGTGTCTCGAGAGTGACAGCAACTAGTGGTACATTTGGTGAATTTTCCATGACAAATTGACATAATTGAAATATCTGGGAGAATTCACTGCACATTGTGTCCTTGAGGTGTTTTGCCTTGGTCTGTGTCATTTGTCCACTGGAGAAATCGAAGACTTCCTCGGAGAGGAGCTTCAGAATGGCCATGTTGTTCTGGCACAGGCTCTCGTTGGTTTTACTCGCTCCCACGATATCACCAATGAACGATTCCCAATTCTTCGGCCATTCTCGTTTTAATACCTGATAAATCACGATTTATCCACAATTAAAATATTTCCGTCAACGTTATTCAGCCTGAAGGGGCGATGGGTACGTACCTGTACTAAAATCATGTTCAATTTATTCAGATAAACCTTGGAATTCTCCATCGTTTCTGGATCACTACTGGTCTTGATAATGAGGCCTACGATGTACTTTTTAATCCCCTCACATTGATTTCTAGGGAGAACTTTCCATCTTGTCTTTATCACTTGTTCCAGTATTTGTAGTGCATAATATTTTGTTTGTTGATTCTGTAAAAAATTATTTTACTCATTATAATCCCGAACAGAATACAATTGAAGAATTAATCAGAATTCTAGAAAATTTGGGGTAATATCATTTTGCAAATATTTCAGACGCTGTTGGATCCACAAAAAAAATCAAAGAACATTTTTTGTAGAAAATCTAAATCTAATCTAATTCTCTACAAAAAGTTTTCTCTAAAATTTTCCCCTCAAACCACTCATTACCAAGATAATTAAAGAATTAGAAACAAGCGAATAAAAAACTAATGTTAATCCTAATTTCTCAATATCTCAAAAACCATTTGGTTTATCAAAAAATCCCAAGACACATGTTTTGTAGGAAATTCAATTCCCCACAAAAAACTCTAATGCCATTTTCCTCTAAACCCACTAGCTCCCGAAATATCCGCAAAACAATCACCAAATCCCTTCTCCTCTCCCACCCGCCCAATTTTCCACATCTTTCCAGAAAAAAAAATAGAATAAAATTACCTGTGAATATTCTAAAATAGTATCCACCCGTGTCCACGCATCCGGATGCTCCTTAAGAGTAGTAAGCACCTCCTGTGCAACCCTCTGCTGTTCCCCCATTCCCGTGTACATGCATCCCACAATGCTGTCTAAAAGTGTTATATCCAGCTTCTGATTGAAGTCCAGCAGTTTCGACGCTTGTTCAGCCATCGTAGCCATTGTGTCTCCACTCGATGATTTTAATCTGCACGAGTATCAATGAAAAACATCAGGACCAATCACTCACAAACATAACAACCCCCAAAAACACTTCACACCCTCTCAACATTCTCCAGGCATCCAACAGATATTCAAAAGTGCGCAATTAGAGGAGGCATGACGAAACTGAGATAATTCACCGGCGACGAGTGTAACTGAGGCCCAAACCCCCACCAAAAGCCCCCTCTCGCCCCCTTAGCACCCCAAAAACCCCGAAACCACCCCCCAAAGTCCAAAAAATTTTCCAAAAACCCCTGAAAAATTCTTTTCTCCATGAAAACCCATTCGTGCATGTGTGCCCGCTCTCCCAAAACCTAACCTCCATCGCCAAATGACCCCTTGGGCCCCCAGGAACCCCTCAACCCCCTTCGAGGACCGCAACAACCCCCGGAAAATCCACCCCAACTCCAAAAGCCCCTGAAAACTCCCCAAAAACCCTTTAAAACGCCTGAAAAATCCCTCAAAAATCCCCAAAAAATCCCAAACTCTCCTCTCACCCCCTCGCCCATCCAACAACCCCCAAAAACCCCATTCATCCCCCAAAAAAACCCTCGCCACCCCCAGAAACGACAAAGAGCCTAACCTGTCCCAAAAAAATTCCACTCCTTTCTCACTCACAAAAATCCCATAATAACCCCCATCCACACATTACCCCCTCCCCTCCATCACTACACAGAACTCACCACCAAATTTTCAACAAATAAAAAAACAATAAAATAATAAATAAATAGCAACTTAACACAAAAGCCAACGATTCCCGCGCGGACGGCAATGCAAACGTCTCTCTCCCTTTCGGTTACATACGCTTCATCCCCCCCTCCAACCCTCTCGCACCACACACACACTTAAATATGACTGTTGCACACACAACACACACACACATGTTGAGAAAGTGTCTCGTTGGTGTCCGGAACAGGCCAGAACGGTTGAAATTCGATAGGAAAAATTTTACTGAAGGTAAATCAGAAAATTGAGGGTCAATTTAGGGGATTTTTTTGATTAGTCCTTGAGGGGGAGGGTTAGTTGTCTCGTTAATGAATTTATTAGTGATGTATTCGGTGGTTTGATGTCTCACTCCCTCGCACGGCTGACAAACTCACCAAAATGGTCCTCCACATGTGCGAAATGAAAAAAATTCACACAGACGCACACACTCGCATGACAATTTTACGTCTTTCATACAGGAAAATGGATTTTTGAAAGTCGTTTTGGGGTTTCGTCCGAGTTTTGGGGGGGTTGGTTGCACTTGATCGTTCACTGACTGTCGGGTTACTGGGGGGAATTGTCGTGTGAAGCAGTCATAACCTCAGACATCTTCATCAACAAACAATTACTCAAGGTAATGAAACCTATGCACTACGTACCCGGTTAAAATCAATATCTCGATTAATTAATTGTCCTCACGTCCCACTCGTCAATTAAACATTAAACAAATCATCGGTGCAACGTTTGATGATTTTTTTTATCGATACGGGGGAATTGTTTTCGGATGGTGTATCAACGGTTGACTGGTGTCTCCAAACGATACATGAAAAATTGGATCTCCGGTTTGTGATTTCGGCTGGTGGGGCGATTTTTTTTTTTCGGTCAGTTGGACACTTTTTTTTGAGAAATCTCGAGGGCTTCTCCCCGCTAAAAAAAATCCAACCTACAAATGATTTTTCGAAAATAATAACAAGATGGCGGATGTTGTACTGCGCGCCGGAACGCGGGACGGCTGTGGGAGAGAGGAGAAACGAGGGATGTGATTGGGGGCGGGGGACTGGGCTGGCCAATCGGAGGGGCAGGAAGAGACGGGGTTCAGGTCGAGGGGAGGGGCGTTTGACAATCGTGACACCGCGGGTTCGCAACGACGGATGAATTGGAAATGTTCGATATATCGCGAGAAGGATCGATGCTGTGATGTATCGGGCACGAAGTATATCGATGTGAAAAATGATTTTTAGAACGTCCAAAAAATCGGGGGTATCGAAAAATTTGATTGAGAAAAATGAGCTAAAAATAAAACGTAAAATAGTTATTTTCATCACAAGGTCCACAAAGTATTTTCTGACGAATGTGGCTTTGTAGGCCAAGCCGAAGGCGAGGCCTATAATCACATTCGTCAGAAAATACTTTTGGACCGTGTAATGAATGCAATTTTTCGTCAGAAGGCCCGTAAACCGCGATCAAACTGAGCGAAGCGAGGTTAGAATCGCGGTTTGCCGGGTCTTCTCACGAAAATTGAGTTTTTGTGAAAATATATTGATATATCAATATAAAAAATCATTTACGCACATTATTTTTTTGTATTGGAAAATTTGAGAAAAGTGGAGGGAAAAAAAACTTGCGAATTCAATTTGATTAGTCGATCCCAGAATCGATATGGCGATATATTGCAGCCAAATATATCGATATATTAACATGGAAAATTAATCATGAATGTAAAAAAAATTTTTTTATTTGAAAATTCGAGAAAAATTACTTGCAAAAAATCGTGCGAATTAAATTCGATTAATCGACGAAAATGGTCGCATGGTGAATCGCTATACTGATTAATCGCTCACGATAATATCGACATTGAAAACATCGATATGAAAAATTATTTGTAAAAAAATAAAAAAAATAGCATTGAAAATCGATATATCGCGCCGGAAAAATGGATAAAAATATCGATCACTCGAGCGTGGAATCTCGATAAGCGAGATGATTGATGTCATATCGAACATTGTTAATTGCGTCCGCGTGACGTCATTGGAAACACGTGTACGATTCGAGGGAATCTGTCCGAAGAATAGGATTCATTATCGGTGATTGGGGGATGGGGTTGATGGGGTGGGAGTAATTAGACGGGAGCGGTTATGGAGATATTGATAAATGGAAAAATATAATTACATAATTAGGAAAATGCAAAAAATGAACTGTCACGTTTCGGTTTTTTGGGACACAATTTTAATTTGAATTTGACAGAATTTATTCCGAAGCTTCATGTTTTTTTTCTTGCTGTTGTCGAGGCAGAATGGGTTGATCACTTGTCCTTGTCCTGTTGGCGGTGATTTGAACACCGTTAATAAATTTTTATGTCCCAATTTTTACAGATAAACTGGTGTTTATTGCTCCGGAGCTGTGATCTCTCCTTTTGAGAATTTTGATGAGACGAAATGACACAACGCGAGGCGCGGGTGATGTCCCGAGTGGAAATCAACACTCGGAGATTGTTGGGAAGATGTGAACTCATGGCTAAGGAAAATCCCAACAGAGATTGGAGACTGGAGAAGGTAGAATAATTCAAATATGATCAGTTTTTAATTCAATCAATTCTCTAATTCTAATCGTGCATTCACTCTTTTTACGAGTGACTAATTTTCGAAAAAAATGTTAGGGGCGGATGGGGTAAAATGGACACGTTAGACTTTTGTTTAATTATTCATAACTCAGAAAAAATTTATCAATTGAGCTCAGTTTAGGCTCGTCACAAAGGGAAATAATTGTTCTTTGTATTAAAAAAAAATTGTTAAATTTTATCAACATTTCAACGCCTCATTAACATTTAAAAAAAAGTCTAAAGTGTCCGTTTTACCCCAACCACCCCTACATTACTTTTTGCGTAGCTGATGAAATCTGCCACGAAAAAAAATCACTGACTTCTCATTCTACCAAAATAAAAAAAAACCTGAAGGACAAAAATTATCAAATAATCATCCCTCTTTTCATATTGTTTCAGTATATTTTGGCACTGGATGATCTCCTAAAAAAATTGCAAACCCAGCCTGAGTAAGAATTCCACAATTATTAATTATTAATCAACAACAAATCCCTTAATTCTTAAGTTCTTAATTTTTATGGTAATAAAAATCCAAATGATTTTTTTTCTCCACTTTGCAGCAAACCCCCCAGAGACATAATGTCTGAATACATAAAACGAATAGATTTCCTGAAAGGTATAGTTGACACTGCGAAGATTCCTGGACCAATTGAGAGGGTAGTGGCAGCCCAGATGCTCCCAAAAACCTCAAATTTATTGTCTGAAACCACCAGCCCCAGTATTACGACTCAGATTCACCAGAAGACTACTGCCAAGTACAACAGAGACGTGAGAGCTGAATTATTCAATTCTGATGGAGGTAAATTGCAAGTAAAAATCATTTTCCATTCCTCAATTCAATTTTCTTCAATTCAATTGCTTCCATAAATGGAATTGATTAATCATTAATTAAATTATATCAAAACAGCTGCATTCGAAACTGCTCTACAATTCTCAACTTAATTCCATTTAATTAAATGACTTCATCATAGTTTGATTGCTTGATTAATTAATTAAGGATTACAAGGTCTCAATTTAATTTATAAAAACAATCGACGAGAATGAAGAATGAATTGAAAAAATAAATCCACAAATCATTGCAAAGATTATTTAATTTTTAAGGAATGGGGCAGGACGGGATGAGAAAGAGACTAGCCAATCAGCAGAGTCAGGACGAAGATCTCGATGCAATTCTGAAGTACAACAGGAATATGCAGGAGAAAATAGCTGAGAACATGCTGATGATGACGAAGAATATGAAGGAGCACGCACTGACAGCCAGTGCAATAATCAAGAGTGACTTGAATTCCCTGGATAAAGCTGATAAACTAACAGAGACCAATGCACACAAGTTGAATAAGGAGTCTCTGAAGTTGGAGGAGCACACGAAGTCCACGTGGAGATGCTGGGTCTGGCTCATGATTGCTTTCGTGATGATCGTGTTCTTCAGTGAGTTGATGCCTTTGAAATTAGTTGGTTCAGAGAAAAATGTCGAGAGAGTTTTTTCACTGAGAGTTGAATTCTCCACGAAAATGGCATCTCGACATTTATTTCGGGAATAGCCTCGTCCCATGAATCACTCAGAAATTAGCTCAGTGCTAACTTTACGATTATCATCAATAGAAAGTTTTTTTTGTGAGAGAAAATTTTCTGCACAATTATTAATGCTTTTTTTTATACTTTCAGATATGATTTTCTTCATGAAGATAGCTAAGAAGAAACTGTAGATAGTGAGCTTTGATTATTGAGAGTGTAACAGATTTTATGTTTACCGTTCTGTACCGCTCTGTGGTTAATGTATTTGTGAAAAATAATAATTTTGGAAATTTATTCAAAGGAGAAGGGCGGAGGAATTTTTATCAAGGGAATTCAACAACTGGAGAATGAAGTCGAAGGGATATATTGAGAGAATGACTTTATCATCGCTCTTTAAATATAGAAAGTCGACTTTCGGCAAAATCGAATTTTTTTGCCAAGGAAATTGTTGATTCTTTATTTTTTTATGCGTTGATTTATATTCGTGGCTATTTCCTGTTCACGAACTTTTTTTGTGTAAACATCACAAAAAACGAACTATTCACCCTCCTATTACCCTCAAGTACGTTTCCCATGGGGTAAAATGGACACTTTTGATTTTTTTTTTCAAATATTCATAACTTAGAAACAGATTTATCAATTGAGCTCAGTCTGTGCTCATCACAAAGAGGAATCATTGTTCTTTCTATTGGGAAATAAAATGATTCCATTTCATGAGCAATTCAACACGTCATGAACATTTCAAAAAAATTCAAGTATCCATTTTACCCCACCCTCCCCTATTGCAGTGGGAGGTGTTTGTTTTTTTGCATTTTTCATGTTGAAAAAAAATTGTTTTGTCCAAAAACTCGCACAAAACGAACTTTTCATCCTTGCACTACCCTCAAGTACGTTTCCCACGGGGTTGAGGATTTTTTATGGGATTTAGGGAGTCCCGAGAAAGATAGGGAAGGATGGGGTAAAATGGACACTTTTGATTTTTGTTTAAATATTCATAACTCAGAAACAGATTTATCAATTGAACTCAGTCTATGCTAATCACAAAGAGGAATCATTGTTCTTTCTATTGGAAAATAAAATTATTCCATTTCATGGGCAATTCAACACGTCATGAACATTTCAAAAAAATTCAAAAGTGTCCATTTTACCCCACCCTCCCCTGTTGCAGTGGGAAGTGTTTGTTTTTTTTGCATTCTTCATGTTGAAAAAATAGTATATTTCGTAACGAGTGCAAAAAAGTGTTTTTTGGCGAGTGGCAGCCGAAAGTGGGTATATCACGAGCCGAAGGCGAGTGATATAATCCCACCAGCTAAAAAACATTTTTTCACGAGTTATGAACAATATTTTTCATCACAATGTGGCGGAAATTGTGCTCCGCGTGCCTAAAAGTTCACTTTTCGTCACAGCGTGATGAAAAAGTACTTTTCCCACGGGGTTGGAAATTTTTTTATGGGATTTTACGGGAAAAAGCAAAATTCAATTCAAATTAAGTTCCAGTGGCTCTTAATTTATTTTCTCCCCCCTTAATTTTTTCAATTGCACAAATTATGAGTGTATTTTTATATTCTAAGAGCGCTGATAACGTTAGGAGGTTGAATCGTTGAGTCGTGCTGTCAGTGGCTGAAAGTGCGTCCGGAAAACCTTTTTCAAGAGCCAGAGAAAATGTCAAATGAAGATGAATCGAAGTATTCTCATAGGATTTATAAGAACGATCCAGTTGAATACAGAAATTACGTCAACAAACGAGTGAAAATCACTGGGAAGGACTCCAGTGTTTACGAGGGTGTTATTTACACTGTGGACCCGGTGTCTGAGAGGTTAGAATATACAATCCACTTCAAAACGCAACAGGAGCCCAACAATTAACCACTGTAACCTAATAACCAAATGAATCATGAATTAATTCGTTACACTATTAAAATTACCAAAATTTGACTAACACCTCCACTAATTCCACGAATATCTCGTGAACTATTGACGCTACGGTGAAATGTCCTGAGACATTTTTTGTGTAGAATTCAATTTCCTACAAAAAATATCTTATGTAATTTTCTTCTAAAATAAATCGTTATCGAGATAATTAGAGATTTAAATGGGAATATAGAGAATTTAAGTTGAGAAATGATTTGATTTCAATTTCCAGTATCATATTGATGAATCCAAAGGAATCTGGTGATTACCAAGCGAAAGTAGTAATCGGAGACTCCGTAAAGTCCATCGAGATCCTCGAGAACTCAGAAGAGAAGCTGCCAGAATTTTTCTCCAGCAGAAAACCTGAAATTTCGATTCCCGAAATCCAGAAGAGGAAAGAAGAACTGATGAGATTATTAATCGAGAGCAGAATTCCAGTTGTTGACGAGGATGACGTCCTGAAGATCCAGGGGGCTGTCTCCATCGAGCCCCCGTACGAGCCCGAGAACTGTCTCTGTGCAAACCCCATCATAATGACCAGACTCCAGGGCATCTTGGCTCAAGTGAAAAACAGGTGATAAAAAACAGAAATCTGGATGTTGTTAGGTTCATTTATTCAATTATGATCATGTTATAATAAATAATCGTATGGAAATACTATAAATCTCTGTTTCATCCTCATTTTTACAAAAATAAACTGTGGGAATGCCAAGTGCTGACGTATGATTTTCAATAACTGGACTTGATTGGAATGAAAATATTTTTTTATGAATAATGAGTAATAATCTTGTGCAGTTATCGTAGAGAATTGTAGAGCGAGAATAATGTCAATTTTGTATTGAAAAAGCTGAGGAATTTTCTGATCGACATAAAATGGAAACAGTTGGAAGTTGAGACAATTTCTTGTGGAAAAATATTCACAAAATAATTTTTCTGAAAAAAAAATGTGATTGTGATTGAAAATTCCTCTAGGCCTTCAACTAATTTGTTCAAAAAAAAATGAATTAGAAAGCAGAATTGATAAGCTCGACGTAATTACTACATGTAATACTTGAGTTACAATTAGATAACGAGACACTGGTAAATCTATTAATGCCCCAATAAGCTTCAACAATATTAGCACTTTTCTCTCGATTACTTTGTACTACAGCATTTGCGCCAAATCTTCAATGCTCGAAGATACTAATGAGCTTGTCAATGCTCTAATGATAATTTCAATTCATCAATAGAATTTCAAAACAGGGAAAATTGATTTATTAACTGAAACGACGGTTTTAGGTATCTAATCAGGGCTAGATACTTCTTAAAGTAGCTCTACCCTTCGGCCAGGGTACGCTGTACTTTTGGATATTTTCAGTTTTTAAATTTTTCAACTTAATTGCATGGAAAAAATTTGAAAGAATTCATACCCAGTCAGTACTATCTAAATTAAATTTCGCAAAATATTGAAATTTTCAAACATTTCCCTCTTATTAATAAATAATAAAACTTGTTTGCAAAACGGTGAATTATTTTTTATGAAGTGTCAAAAAAATTCCTGATTTTTTCACATCTAATGAAAAAAAATTGAGATTTTAATCTTTGATTACAATGGAAATGTTGATTTTCACGTAAGACACTGGGTTGAATCCTGATTTTTAAACATTTCTACTTTGAAAAACCAAAACGATAATTAAATTGAGAAAAAAATTACAATTCCGAATCTAATCGAGTTTTCTGCAATTTTTTTTCAGTTTTCAATAATCTTTGAATTTACCGTAAGGGTAGAGCTACTTTAAAAGAAATATCATTCATTCACTCATGTTCTTAAAAACGAAATGAAAGTGAAAAATCGGTTTTTCAGAAGATGACAATTTTTCCTGTTTTAATGCACTATTTGCTGAATTTTATTCCGTTTTGTGCTCGTTATTTGTCAAGTTCATTATCTCATTATGCTGTGAGGTATATGAAATGTAGTGATTTGTTCCATTGTCCCTTATTTCGAGGGGATGAAGCCTGAAATCCTCAAATTTCCGAACAAATAATTTTTCATTTTTTATCCAATTATTTTTCAAACAAAATAGCGTTCCCTTAATGTTTAATCAACCATTACGTATCGGGATGTTTTTTCTCTCATATTTCAAAGTCGAAATGGCTGTTTGGAAATGAGGAGAATTGATTAGTCTTCGTCCCCTCGATCAAACAATCCATTAGATAACTTATCTACTAATTGCCCTTCCATTATCATTCTGGAGTGAGCCTTGTCCTGAATTAGCATGCATAAAAAACGTAATTATTAAAATGATCATTGAGACGATTGCGTATTTATACTATGATATTTTATACACGAGCTGAAATTAAAATATAGAGAGGCAGTGAATGTACTAGAATTTTTCTACAGTGAAGTGATAAAACTTATTTAATAATTCAGATTTTCGATATTGAAAAAAATGTCGAAGGACTCTCTTAAACAGAAAATTAAGTTTACTAGAAAAAAAGTTTTGTACTTTTACTCTAAATTGCCTCATTCATGAGACAATACCATAATTATGTAGCAAAAAAATTTACTTGAATTTCAAAAGTAAAAAAGAAAAGTAAAAGTTTCATTAATTGTCTGTGACTAAAAATTAAAAAAAATATTTTTTACGTGACATTTTCTCCTGAAAAAAATAGCCATGGTAATTTCTCGCTAAATAAGATCTGGAAAAAACGACTTATTTCCATTCTTATCACTTCACTACTGAGTCGTTCATGAATTATTGATCCTGGCTATCAAAAAAATCAGCACAGTTGTATGTTTAAGGCATTTATCTATGAATGAACTTGATTTTTCGTTGTTATAAACTACACCACTGCCTACATCAAATACCTTTTACCCCGAAGAGATTTAGAGGGAAATGTCGAGAAGCTTTTTTGTATTCAATTTAATTCTCAACAAAAAATGTCTCTAAACATTTCCCCCCACCGACTCCTCCCCACTTCCCTAAATTTCTCCACTTTACCTCTTCACAACTGAATAAATTCCCAAAAATCATTTTCCAATGATGAAAATATCGTCAAAAATTCCCCTATTCTGATTCATCATCAGAGTAATACTCGATGGGGTTAGGGTCCCTCAGCTTTCTCGAGTACTTCAACCCAATGTGATCAGCAAGTTCCTCGACATTCTTGATAACATAATCGAGTTGTTCTTTAGTATGAGCAGCAGATATGCAGAATCTTATTCTCCCAGCCATGAGGGGTGTTGCAGGGAATCCCACCCCCACAGCAGCAATTTTATTCTCCGTGAAGGTGCGCACAACGAGTCCAATCTTCGAGTACAGGTACACCATCATCGGAATAACTGGCGAGTGCTCGTGCCCCAGGACGATGACCCCCATCTGGTGAAGCTTGCGTCGGAAATACCTCGTATTTCTTGCCAATTGTTTCGTACGAATTTTACCAGCATCCGTGCCATCCTCACCCATGATAATTGTCATCGATGTTATAATTTGTTGGGCAATAGGCGGTGACATTGACACCGCGTAGCTGTGGGCATGACTGTGCACTCGTAAATGATTTATGAGGGCCTGGAATGAATAATTTCAACAAGGTATTTTTGGCTTGAGTTGTTGGGCGGTGAATAAGATTGTTGGGGAAGAAAGAACTAGGGCTGATATTGTAATAGAAATTGAAGGAGGAGGTATAGAAGAAAGTTGCTGGGGTTTTTTGGGATTATCTGGGGATCCACGCGAAATAGAAGAATTTTCATGAGGAACTTTTTTGTGTGGAATTTCGAGAGCTACAAAAAAGGTTCAACGAAAATTTTTGTATCTCCAAGGGATCGCGGGATATTGATGAAAAACTGATGGGTGTCTTTGAAAGGGGAATTCAATTTTTGTAATATTGATTTTTCCTAACATTTACACCGGTAAATCATTTATGAGTCTGGAATCGATAATTTCAACACTTTCAAGGAACACTTCTGGTTTAAATTGCTGAGAATTGCAAAAGCTTGTGGGGGAATAAAGAACTGAAACTTATATTGTAATAAAAATGAAGCAAATGGAAATAAAAAAGCAGTTGTCGGGGATTTCAATTTTTTAACATTCGTTTTGACGAATATCACGAGATCCATGAGAGATAGACAAATTTTCATACGAAACTTTTTTTAGCCCTTGATTTTCTCTACAAAAAAGGTCTTCACAAAAATTTTGCTATCCCTCGCGAATTCTGAAATATTTGTAGAAAACTCTTCTAAAAATCTACTATCAATCACTTATTTAATGAAAAATGTTAATTTAGTTTTGAATATCTGGGGATCCACGGGAGATAGAACAATTTTCATGAGGAACTTTTTTGTGCGGAATTTCGAGAGCTACAAAAAAGGTTCAACGAAAATTTTTGTATCTCCAAGGGATCGCGGGATATTGATGAAAAACTGATGGATGTCTTTGAAAGGGGAATTCCATTATTGTAATATTGATTTTTCTTAACATTTACACCGGTAAATCATTTATGAGCGTCTGGAATCGATAGTTTCAACACTTTCAAGGAACACATCTGGTTTAAATTGCTGAGAATTGCAAAAGATTGTGGGGAAATAAAGAACTGAAACTTATATTGTAACAAAAATGAAGCAAATGGAAATAGAAAAGCAGTTGTCGGGGATTTCAATTTTTTAACATTCGTTTTGACGAATATCACGAGATCCATGAGAGATAGACAAATTTTCATACGACACTTTTTTTAGCCCTTGATTTTCTCTACAAAAAAGGTCTTCACAAAAATTTTGCTATCCCTCGCGAATTCTGAAATATTTGCGGAAAACTCTTCTAAAAATCTACTATCAATCACTTATTTAATGAAAAGTGTTAATTTAGTTTTGAAAAATCCCAGGAAAAAAAATTTCTGCCGTCTTGAGTGGAATGTCTCACGTTTTCCTGAATTTTCAATTGAAGAAATTACCTTGGAGCCAGCAATGTAACCCCCAGCCGAGCCGAAGCTCTTGGTGAAGGTTCCCATGAGGATGTCAATCTCCTTAGGGTCAACTCCATAGTAATCACATATTCCTCTCCCATTCTTCCCCATGGCCCCAGTGCTGTGAGCCTCGTCCAGGTACAGATATGCCTTGTATTTCTTCTTCAACTCTATCATCTCTGGGAGGTGAACCACAGAGCCTTCCATCGAGTAGATTCCCTCGACTACGATGACGATTTTTTTCCAGGGTTCGCCAGTATTCGGTTGGCCCTTGGCGATTGCCTCCCTCAGGCATTCTTCGAGGTGTTGAACGTCTGTAATAAATTTAACAAATTAATCAACGCGGGTACATTCGCTTGAACATTCGTCAAGTCATCAAATTACGAATTGATTCAATGTATGGATTCATAATTTAATAAATGAATTGATAATTTGACGAATGAGCTGTCAATTTGATGAAGGCATTGACGATTTAATTAATTGAATGATAATTTCATTACCATTGTGACCAAAAACTCTGGTGACAGCTTTTGACAGTCTCAATCCAAGAATTAATGACGCATGATTCTTAATGTCACTCAGTACAAGACACCCTGATGTTACTAGAGACGGTAGATTCAGCGCATTCGTTGCAAAACCCATGCCAAATACAATGGCATCCTCAACTTGCAGAAATCTGGCAGTCAGACGTTCCAATTCTAAATGTATTGGCATGGTTCCTGAATTTTTCAATAAAATTTATATGTTAATTAAGGCGTTGAAGGTGATTTTGCAATTATCTCGACGATCGTTAAGTCAACGATTGACGGGCGAAATTAATGTTGAATTAATTTAACGATTTGTAGAATTGACAATTTATGAAATTATTTAAATATCTTCTCAGTTGAAAAAAAATTTGTAATATTTTTTCGTAAAATCAATTGTTAACGAGATGATTACATCATCAAACAGACATTCAGTGACGTTTTTCTTAAATGCACCTGTCGTTAAGATGATTGCATAATTAAAAAGGCGTTAAGTTCTCTTTGGAAATAAAAAAATTGAACTTTTGGTGGCATTTATCTCATTATTTAGTGCTTGAGGGCAGTTAGAAGAAAATGTGAAGATATTTTGTAGAAAATTTCCTCAACTACAAAAAATCGTTTATTATTCTCTCCTACACTGATTCAATTCCATGAAAATTATATAAATGACTCGAAAAGTTTGATATTATATTCATAGAACGAAACATTTTTTTTAATTGTGGAATTATCTGTTGAAAAAAATGAAATGTCAAATGTTTAATGTTTAGGAGAAAATGTCATTTTTCGTCGAGAATTGTCTCGACTGCAAGAAAAATGTCTCGCCATTTTCTCATAAATCCAATCATCATCGAGATCATTGCACCGATAAATGAAAACAATAAACGAATGTTTTTATTACCGAGTTCCAGACGTGTGCTGCAGGTAGAGAGTCCATACTTCTTGACAGCCTCGATGCTCTGATCAGCACAGGGCCCAGTGGCTTCAGCAAATCCCAAGTAATTATAAGACCCTAGATTGATGCAGGGGGTCTCAGTCCCAGTGAATCTGACGAAAGAAAAAATAATCACCTGCATTCAGAAGTTCATCAATTGATGACTGAGGTAATTGATCAAAAGACTGAGTTAGATTGTTGGAACAAATTGAAGTTTCATGGATGACCAGTAATTTTGGGGAGAGTGACATGGAATTTGACTTGGGGGGCAAGAATCATGAACTGATTTTACTGAAAATTGCGTGAAATTCCAAATTCTTGAGCAGCAGGAAGATGAGAATTCCCAAAATTACTCGGATTTTCACTCAAAACGTTAGTATTCAGTTTCAGCCTACTTGAATTGTCAATCAACTAAAAATTCAATACAATATTTACCTAGAATTTCATTTTCATTGATTTTATTGAAAAATTGACCTAAAATTCACAGTTTTCATTGATTTTCCCATAAAATTTGGAATTTTCAGTGACGATATAATGTGACAAAAATAGTCAACAGTCTAGATATTTAATTGAATGTTTCGCACCGTCTCTATATGGTTTAGTGAAAGGAGGACTCGATAATACTTACTGGAATGTCCAACCGTGGTCGTGAGTAACTCTATCCTTCAGGGTGACCATAGCCCCTGGAACTGAGCATATAGGTCGATTCCAACAGTCCCTGACTCTTCTGTAAACGTATCTCAAGTAGAATGTGTCGAAGGCATCGTAAAGTGGAGGATAACCCTTGAAAAAAAAATGTTGAGTAAAATTAAATCAAATTGAAAAGGTGAAATGATAAATTCAATCTTCATTTAATTTAATTAAAGCCCGGGTGTACTATCTATGAATGTTATCTGGATTTTTTTCATCTTTCGTAATCCAAAATTGTCAATCGAGTGGTACATCATGTAGAAATTCCCAAAAATTGTGATAGAATGATTTAAAAAAATAGAAAAAATTCTTAACTTTTTCAAAGAGTGTTTTTAATTGGGATTCAGAATGAGTTGAAAAAAGTGGAAATTACAAATATCTGATTCGACGTGGCAAATTATCTATTAGCTGTCATTTTCCCTGAACACTAACTCCTCATGGGAAGTGACAGCTACGTATCTCAATTTTCAAAACAATGATATGTAGTCATCTGCCATTTTTATGTGATAAAAGTGTAATTAAAAAATTCTCCAAAATATTACAACTTTTTTCAAAGAGTTTTTTCCGTAATAAATGTCTCTGACAGGCCGCCATTTGTCACCCTAAATCAGATACATTTTTCAATTTCTTGTTATTCAACTTATTCTGTATATAAATTAAAAATGCTCTTTGAAAAAATTAAGAATTTCTTCTACTTTTTTTTGATTATTCATTCTTAATTTTTCAAAACTTCTGCATGATGCACGACTCAATTGACAATTTCAGATGACGAAAGATGAAAAAAAAACATCGAGATAACGTTAGAAAGATAGTACATCCGGGCCTTAATTTAATTAAAAAATCTCTTGATAAATCTCTTGAACTGCCTCTTCTGGAAGACTTTAGCAAAATAATCTCTGGTGTCTCGAATGAGAAAAATGTTTTGAAATGTTCTACCTTAGGAATGTGAAGACAATACCTTTCTGTTCTGCTCCTTGGCCACTTGCGGTGTGAACAACAGCTTATTGATGATCCCCAGGAGCATGAGAATGTAAAAACCGAGGTGAGTTAGGGCGATAGTAATTAGTGACGGTTCTTCGAATGATTCTCCCGAACGCTGAGGCTCCTCTTTTCGTTTTTTCGTTCTGCTGCAGCCGTCCATCTGACCACATTAATAATGTATTCTATTATTTACTCATTTGGAGATAACTGGAGATAACTCAATGTGATAACATTAACAATTGTACCAACAAATGGCCCTAAAGTGATCAAGGACATTAGTTGAATCCATAAATGTACAAATTCAGAGATTAAATGCAAAAATCTGAGTTTTCAGCTCTGTCCGTTGATTAACAATTATAATAAGAATGAAATCGTTGGCTTATTATGACTAAACACTCGCCTCAAGCTCTTATCACACGCGTTACCTCATATCTGAGATATTTTTGCATGAATCATCCGCTGAAAACGTGAATTATCCCGCGAATTCTACGCGTCTGATGATGTGCCAAAAATTTTTGCAGAGCTCTTTGCAAATATTTATCAAACTAATAGAGTTATCGAAAAACATCATAAGGATTTTTTGTAGGAAATTGAATTCCCGACAAAAACTGTCTTTTGATATTTTTCCGTATTTCCACTCATTCCCGATATAATTGGGAAGTAACAAGAGATGATACCAAATGTGAGTGAAACATCGCGCCCTGAGTTTTTCGCAAATATCCGCTCAACTATTGGATTTATCAAAAAACATCGTAAGACTGGGGGTTTTTTTGCGGGAAATTTAATTCCCCGCAAAAATGATTTGTGATATTTTCCCGTATCTCCACGCATTCCCGAGATAATTCTCGAATTACCCAAAAACTAAAATCCCCAACAATCAAATTTCCTCGAAAACCTCTGAAAAACAATTTTCCAACAAAGCCCTGACTGACCTTGATATGTCCATTGCTCTTGCTCATCGAGTGTCCATTCACCCTCTTCTCCCCCATCTCCACCTCGATGCGATCCCTCTGGATCACCTCCTCCTGGGTAGAGCCGACACTCTGTCCGAATGCCATCTCACCATCAATCAGTCGAAATCCTCCTCTTCCTCTTCTCAATTACAGTCAATTGATAAACGAGGGTCAATTCGGTTCAACAGAGACAATTCTTAAAAGCCTCCAGAGTACCTCAAACCCCTAGACAACCACCCCTCCATCCATTTGAAGATCCCCTTGAATGAAACGAAACAGACTTAGGGGAGAATCTATAAAACGACTTTTATCATCTTCAGTATCTCTGGATCGGCAGAGTGAATTTCAAATTTTTTTCTTTCATTACAGAGATATTTTTTCAGACTTGAAAATGAGCCCCGACTTATCACAATCGCATCATTTGCTCAGGAGGTATTGACGATTTAAGGTCAGTTCGTCAATTTTCCCTCACCTACGAAAATATTTTCCACTGATGTTTCTTCACTTTTCGATCCGGATTAATTTTTCCGAGTATGGTTTACTCGATCGTAACCAACTCTCTGACTCGTGGTTGTTGTCCGGCACCAAATCGAGGAAAACGAGTGTTAAACCGGGACAACTGAACCTGCAGTGACCATTCCAACGCCTGCGCACGGCTGATCCAATCTTATCGAGCACTTTACTTTCTTTTTGTCGAAACGACCCCCCCCCCCCCCCCCNACGACCCCCCTCCCCTCCATTTCACAATATTTCACATAAATGCGCAACTTCGTGGGGCTGAAAACATGTTTGAAACGCTTCCAGAGTGAATAAAGGCGGAAAACCCGGAGTCCAGTGATTTTTACAGTAATTTGTTAATTCTATCAAAGGTTTCTACATAAACCTTCATTTGTTTCCAGTAACTCGTACAATTTATTCCCTTCCTTATTATTTTTGTGAGACAACAATATATCAACTAGTACTTGTCGTTCAAGCGTGTTTTGAACGTTTTAACCTCATAAAAACCGAAGAACAAGATCCAATTGTTCGTTTATTCAATCGATTGCAGGTGAAACAAGGATCGTTGGAATAATTTATTGAGAACAACAGGAAAAAGAGATGTTCAACCAGACAAGCACATTGGGAGCTGTTGCCCCAAGCAATGCCAACCCCATGAAGGATTTTGAAGTGGTTTCACCACCAGACGATTCGATATCGAGTCTAGCTTTCAGTCCAGCATCGATCCCCCAGAATTTTCTTGTCGCTGGGTCATGGGACTGCAACGTCAGGTGCTGGGAGGTTGAACAATCTGGGAAGACTGTTCCTAAGTCCATGCAGACACTAGGGGGACCGGTTTTAGACGTTTGTTGGCACGATGTAAGCCTCTAAAATCCTTCAACACTTTTTGTTTCCTTAATTCATCGAAAATATTGAATGACTGATTCATTTTTATGATGATTCATTCATTTATTCATTCATGCATGCATTGAAACAATTATTGAACTAATCAATTTTTAAAATAATTATTACAGTAGCGAAGTGGTAAAACGGTTTAAGTCGACTTGTCTCCCAGTTGAGTTTTTGGGAAATATTTCCGAATCTAAGGGAGATAGCCAAATTTTCGTAATTATATTTATTGTAGCTCTCGAACGGCTCTACAAAAAAGGTTATAACAAAAATTTTGCTATCTGCCGTAGATTCCGAGATATTCAGTGAAAACTAGTCTCTTTAAATAAAAAAAAAAGACTTGAACCGTTTTACCACTTTGTTACTGATTTTTCACTCCTTCAGTCATTCATGAATGACATACTTCATTAATTTGTTGATGCATTGTGCAGGATGGAACCAAAGTATTCATGGCATCCTGCGACAAAATGGTAAAATGCTGGGATTTAGCATCAAATCAGAGTGTCCAAGTAGCTCAACACGAGGCACCAGTTAAAACGTGTCACTGGGTCAAGGGATCAAACTACTCATGTCTGATGACTGGCTCCTGGGATAAGACACTCAAATTCTGGGACACCAGGAGTCCAAATCCACTGTTGACGATTAATCTGCCAGAACGATGCTACTGTGCTGATGTTGTAAGTATCAAGTCAATTGTCTCTTCAATTCTCCTCTATTATTAAAAATCTCTTGACGCTTGCCCCCCAAACCCACGTATTCGCATGAATGTCAATGCAGTAATTCATACGGAATATTTCAATTTTATCACTTCATCAATAAATCAGATTCTATACTGAGAGAAAAACGACAGAGTTCTCGAACAAGTCTTGCGTGTGCCAAGAAAATAGTTTTTTGAAAATTATCAAAAAAGGATTTTTTTGTGCCAAACATGCAGAGAGTGCGCCGGAATGAAAAATTTTTGTCGCAAAAATAGATTTGGTAGTTAAAAAAAATGCATTCTCTGTACACGCAAGACATGTTATTTCTAGCACTACTCCCTCGTTATTCGATACTCCCATACGTATTTTGCTCCCGAAAAATCGTTGTCTTATGCGAAACAAGGGATAGTAGTTTTTCATTTCGGCTGTCTAATAATCACAGACAACAAATGAACCCTTAAGGGTGCCAAGTGAATTTGGCGATGACCTTGACAATTGACATTCACCAACAAAGTTATAATTTTTTAAATTAATAGTATTAGACAGATGGTGAACATCGGTGACAATTTTAAAATTTTAGAACTTATGGATATCGAGAAATTAAATGAACGAAATCAGTCTTATACACGGCCTCTTATGGAGTTTTGATTAAATTGAACGTTTCAACCCCCTAGGAACTCAAGAAAAATTTGAAAAAATTTGAAGATATGGGGAATGATGTGTTCAATGTGATGGCGACAAAAAACAATGGGGTACCGGGGTGAATAAGAGAGATATTTCAACCCGCCGTACCCATTTGATCCCATGCTTTCTCGAGGTTCGTCACGCGAAATAGAGGATTTTCCGCATTTATTTTCTCGACGTCTAGATCCGGTTGCGGGTTTGAAATTTCGTCGGATGGATGAATACATATTTCTCCAATGATGGAGGGAAAGAAAAAATTTTTTTTGAATCTTTTTTCAAATTCACTTGGCACCCTTAATTGAAACAATGATAATGATATGATAGCAATCGTGTAATTTAGGGATAAAATATTTGTTGATAAATTTTCCTCTATATGAGATATTTTCATCCTGAAAAGGCACCGTCTGGTGTGAATTATCCNGAACAAGTTTTGCTTGTGCCAAGAAAATAGTTTTTTGAAAATTATCAAAAAAGGATTTTTTTGTGCCAAACATGCAGAGAGTGCGCCGGAATGAAAAATTTTTGTCGCAAAAATAGATTTGGTAGTTAAAAAAAAATGCATTCTCTGTACACGCAAGACATGTTATTTCTAGCACTACTCCCTCGTTATTCGATACTCCCATACGTATTTTGCTCCCGAAAAATCGTTGTCTTATGCGAAACAAGGGATAGTAGTTTTTCATTTCGGCTGTCTAATAATCACAGACA